GAGCCCTGGATCCTCAGGAAGAAATATTACCCTCCAGGACCGATTCTTGCTAAGTCAAAACTGGAGCCAGTCCAGCGTAGCAGCCTCAGAAAGTCGCCAAGAGGACAATGCTACTGCCCCAGAGATAAGCCACAGTTTGCCTCTGTCCCCTGGTTCACTGCTGGGGAAGCGTGACTGACCTTGCCCTGGCTGTCCCTCCTCCTTAAAATCTCCTCCTTAAAGCCTCCTTAAAGTTCTAGCTGCCTCTCTGTAGTTCTCTGCATTCCCTGCTTGGCCCCGCTGGGCTATAAATAACTGACCCTCCCATTCATTTTCCTTAGAGTGTTGCTGGATAAGCCAAATGAATTCAGGCAATAAGGGAAAGCAAAAACAAAACAAGGAAAAGCAGAACGGGCTAGTGGGACATTTAGAACAGAGACTTGAAGGGCAGTCAGGAACAGGGGCTTCGTGGCTCAGTGCACCCACTGATTCTATATGCTTTGCACAAGTTGTACCCCTTCTTTGAGTTTCAGTTTCCCCACCTGTAAGTTCAAGGAGGTGGACGCAATGTGCTCTCACTCCTTCAGTGTGATTCTGGGGCAAAGGGAGTGTATTACCTATTGTCATGGTATCAAATTATCACAGTCAGTGGCTTAAACACAACACTAATGTATTATTATCTTAGAGTTATCTAGGGCTCAGAAATTAAAACTGGGTCGGCAGGACTGTGCTGGAGGCTCAGGGGAGAATCTGCCCTGGCCTCCTCTAGCTTCCAGAGCCTGCCTGCACCCACCATCCTGTGGCTGCTTCACTGGCCCTCTTCCACCTTCACATCTCTAATTTGGACACTCCTGCCTCCCACTTATAAGGACCATTGTGATTATCTGGGTTGGGCCCACCTGATAATTCTGGATAATCTCCCCTTCTCAAGATCCTCATTTAATTGTATCTGTGAGGTCCCTTTTGATATTTAAGGCAACATGTCCATGGGTTTCAGGGAGTAAGACATGGGTATCCTTGGGAGGCCATGATTCTTCCTACATAAGGGAGACTATTTCTAAAGAAGCCTTGGGGGCTTTAAGGGTGGAATCTACTGAAGCTAGACCAGCCAAATAAGGGCAATATCCTGGGCAACTAAGGCCTTCTGAATCCAAATCACGGGTGCTCCCTTTCAGTAACTGCCGAATGGGTCAGAACAGAAGCCAAGGATAAGATAAGACCGAGGCACGGCTCCTGGAGTCTGAAGACCTGGATTCAGATACTGCTCAGCCGGTGACTATCTATGTGATTATGGACAAATGGCATTGCTCTTGGGCTCAGCAGGGCCAACACTTCCTTTCTGGTTACCCTTATAGACCACATCACAGATATGAAGGTACACACGGGGGTGCCAGTTATTGCTACTGCTGTTAGTGTCATTGATGAAAGTGTTGGGAAGGGCTGGTTGGTCAGAGGAGGAGAGGACCTGGAAGATTCCCACGAGGAAAGATCGGAAGACCAGAGACCCCTAAAGGGAAAGAAATACAATGTTTGAGATAGAGGGCACCCTCTAAAGTTACCCCAGTCCAGCCTGGGGCCTGCTGACCCTGATCTTGGACTTCAGTCAAAGCAATTTTGTCAGACTTGGTTGTTTGTTAAAACAAAAGCCAGGGTTTTTGAGAACCCACGTCAGGGTCAAAGTTGGTATTGACACCCAGAAAAGCTGGCATTTAGTTACTGGCAACCCCTGAGGACAAAGAGCAGTAGAATGTTCCTTTACCCCAACTCCAGCAGCTCATTATCCCAACACCCACCATTTGCTGGGAGTGTTGTCACCGCTGCCCAGGACAGGGTGGGCCTCAAGGATAGAGGACCTCAGAAGCACAAGAGAGGAATGGAGGACCAGGAAAGAAAGACCCAGGGTCAAGTTCCTGAAGCTAGTGAGAAACAGAGCCCAGTCCTAGTGAAAACCACTCAGGCTGAGCTCCTGGTGTGGGGACAGGGTGTGTGTGATTTTCCCCAACATCTGGCCCAGAAGCCATTTGAAAGAAGCCCAAGGGTGGGGCAGAAGCTTGTGGAATGGGATAGTCACAGGGTCCCTCAGGAGAGGTTCTGCCTCAGCAGCATCTAATATCTCCATTATTTGTGAGATCACAGTGTCATGGCTACTATATAGGTCAGCTGAGGGTTTGCGTTAACAACTTTCAAAATTCTACCTAGGGGGAAAAAAATAGACAGAATTTCTACCAGGAAGAACTGGGGCAAATGTTTGCAATATACACGTAAAAAGTTAGAATTCTTATCATATAAAACTGCTTATAAAATGAGATTCCCACCCATTAAAATAATAACTAATTTGGGCCTCCCCGGTGGCGCAGCAGTTGAGCGCTGGGTTGCGAAGCTGCCCGTGGCCTCTGCGGTGCCGGTTCGATCCCCGGCTGCTCCCCGGCCACCAGAGGAGGGTCCCGCATGGTGCGCAGACCTCTCCTGCCACCCGCTGCTCCCCTCAGCAGTGTACTTCGGTCCTTCTGCCTGCTCTGCTCCCCCCCCCGCTCTGGCTCTGGTGAATTCTCTCACCCTCCCGCGCTTCTGACTGTACCCAGTGCATGTATAAACAAACAAACAAACAAATAAATAAATAAAACATGCCTCTATAAAAAAAAAAATAAAATAAAATAATAACTAATTCACAGAGGAAATACAAACTAGAGTTGAATGAACTAAAAGTACAATCTTGCTTGAATAAGAATGAAACGCAGAGGCACAAGTTGGAGTTGATTGGGCTTGTGGCCCATGGTCATCAGCAGCCTGCAGGTCCCGCATAATTGTGTAAGTGCGTAATTGCCTACTTGGGCCATGAAATCTTTTTTCTCCCCTTCCTCTCTCCTCCTTGAACCCTCTTCCCTATCGGTGAACAAGCTAACGTGTTGAACATAAAGCTTCTTTCCTTCTGGAACACAATACAGAACCAAGCATGATCCTTGGCTCACAACAGACTCATCACCAGTGCATGTGAGGCTGTCTTAAGAATTATTACTTTTTTTAAGATTTATTTATTTATGCATATAAGAACTGGGGTACAGGTCAGAGGTGCGGGGGGTGAGAAGATTCACCAGACACAGAGTGGGGAGCAGAGCAGGTAGACTGACTGAATACACTGCTGAGGGGAGCAGCGGGTGAGTCAGGAGAGGTCTGCTGTGCCACGCGGGTCACCTCCCTGGCCAGGGATCCAGCTTGTACTGTAGTAGCTGTGGATTGCTTCATAGTGCTGACGCTTAACCCCTTGCGTCACCAGGGAGGCCCTATAAATTATTTTTTAATAGTTCAACTAAAACCTGGGAGGTCACTGACTCAAAAGGAACTTGACCATAGACAGTGACCTGCCCTCACCCCATGCCTCTGGTTTCTCCAGGCAGGAAACTTTCATCTTGAATCCTGTGCTTGTCATTCCCTTACTTTCTCACTCCTTTTCTTTCACTCCTTTAAAGTATGTCTGTTTGATTTTGTTTGTCTTAATTTTATTAAAAGAATGTCATGTACACTTTTTAGGGGTCTTGGAGATAAATGGCATGTACAAGAGGTATTAAGGTGATAGAGACTCAGGGTAGTAATGAGGGGAGTGAAGGAAGAATCTGGGATGTTGTCCACGTCAGTCTCAGGTGACTGGGTAGTCGTTGGTGCCATTCAGTTAAATAGACACAGGGAGCCTCCCTGGTGGCGCAAGGGGTTAAGACACAACCTATGAAGCTCTCCACAGCCACTGCAGCAGACGTTCGATCCCCAGCCAGGGAACTAACCCTCACAGCACTGTAGACCTCTCCTGTCTCGCCCACTGCTCCCCTCAGCAGTGTATTTCAGTTAGTCTGCCTGTTCTGTTCCCCACTCTGTCTCTGGTGAATCCTCTCACCCCCCATGCCTCTGGCCTGTACCCCAGTTCTTGAATGCATAAATAAATAAATCTTAAAAAAAATAGATACAGGAAAGAAGAGGCTGGTGGGAAGATAACGGGCTCATCAAATGCCTGCTTTGTTCAGGGCACTCTTTGTAGAGCTTAATGTGCTCTACATGAATGACCACATTGAGGCCTCATAAAAAGCCCACTATTGTTATCATCATTTTAAACACAGGAAGACTGAGGGATGGAGACGTTCAGTAGGCTCTAAGTCTATCAACATGATAGATCACTCCTCTCTGCTACAAACCTAGAAATACTGGATAAAATATTAAAAAAAATTAAATATTGGGCCTCCCCTGGTGGCGCAGCGGTTGAGCGCTGGGTTGTGAAGCCGCCCGCAGCCTCTGCAGCACCGGTTCAATCCCTGGCTGCCAGCGAGGGTCCCGCATGGCGCGCAGACCTCTCCTGACACCCACTGCTCCCCTCAGCAGTGTACTTCATCAGTCTGCCTGTTATGTTCCCCGCTCTGGCTCTGGTGAATTCTCTCACCTTCCCATGCTTCTGACTGTACCCAGTGCTTGTATAAATAAATCTTTAAAAAAGGAAGCCATTTTTAAAAAATTAAATATTCATAAAAGAAAATATTGATATGTGACTAGATATGTATAAATAAAATATTTTACAACTAACAAAAGCAACTTTGGAAACTCCAAGCCAGGGTGGACACACCTGGTATTTATAGATAAAATGAGCCTTACTAAAGATGAGATCTCACTTAAAAAATATTCACTAGAAGATTTCATCCAAAGAAGAATAATTGTAAGCTGCACATAAGGCAAGAGTATAGAGACATAAATAATAAGGGATACTGCAAATGCACTATCAGTCTTTTTGAATGATGAGGGGGAAAAATAAAGGAGAGACTATAATGAAAGAAATGAATACTAGGGGGACACCTGAGGCTAAGTCACCTACCCAAGGTGACATAACTATTAAGTTGGGGTCCCCACGCTTGTGCTAAACTCACTAGATTACAGGTGAAGAGTGTACTGGACACCCCAGATCAGTCACAAAAGTGGATTTGGAGAGATGTAGGAAATGCCCGCTTGCCTCGTATTTCTCTCACGTCCTGCTCTCTGGTCTGCAGAGCTCCACCATGGCTGCCACCACCTCCCCTCTGCCAGTCACCACCCAAGTTGCCAGTTCCGAGAACAGCAGCTCCTTCTATGACTATGAGTACTACCTGGACGAGCTGGACTTCATGATCTGTAGGAAGGATGAGGTGCTGTCCTTCGGCAAAATATTCCTGCCCATCTTCTATAGCCTTATCTTCGTGCTGGGCCTGGGCGGAAACTTACTTCTCCTCATCATCTTGCTCCGCTATGTGCCTCGAAGGCGGATGACCGAGGTCTACCTGATGAACCTGGCCATCTCCAACCTCCTGTTTGTGGTGACGCTGCCCTTCTGGGGCACCTCTGTAGCCTGGCATTGGGTCTTTGGCAATTTCTTGTGCAAGATGGTAAGCACCCTCTACACCATTAACTTCTACAGTGGCATCTTCTTCATTAGCTGCATGAGCCGGGACAAGTACCTGGAGATTGTTCACGCTCAGCCCCACCACAGGCTGAGGACCCGGGCTAAGAGCCTGCTCCTTGCTGCCATGGTGTGGGCTGTGGCCCTGGTTGTCTCCATCCCAGACATGGTCTTTGTGCGGACACACGAATACCCCACAGGTGTGTGGAGCTGTTATCCGGATTTCGGAGGGCACGCGACCACCTGGAAGCTCTTCCTCCGCTGCCAGCAGAGCCTCCTGGGGTTCCTCCTTCCACTCTTTGTCATGATCTTCTTCTACTCCCGAATTGGCTGTGTCCTGATCAGGCTGAAGCCCCCAGGCCAGGGCCGGGCTCTGAGGATCACGATCGCCCTCGTGGTGGCCTTCTTCGTGCTCTGGTTCCCGTACAACCTCACCTTGTTTCTGCACTCACTGCTGGACCTGCAAGTCTTTGGGGACTGCAAGGTCAGCCAGCACCTGGACTATGCACTGCAGGTGACCGAGAGCATTGCCTTCCTGCACTGCTGTTTCACCCCTGTCCTCTACGCCTTCTCCAGTCGCCGCTTCCGCTGGTACCTGAAGGCTCTTCTGGCCACCGTGCTCAGATGGCAGCGGACATCTGGCCCTGCCCACGCCCCACAACCCAGCTGTTCCGAGAGCAGCATGCTCACTGGCCAAGAAGAAATGACCACTATACATGAACTTGGGGAGAGGCAGGCAGGGAGCTCCCCCAACAAGGGGGAGGCGGGGTAAAATTAAGCCTCCACACTCTCTTGCCTGAATTGCTGCAAGGGTTTCCCAACTCACCTCTGCTTCCTATTATTTTGCTCTGGTATCACCTAGTCCGCACCCAGCAGCCAGAGTGCTCCCATCACTCCCATGTCCCTCAGAGCAGCCCAAGCTGCTCTCCTTCCCTGTATCTGAGCTGGGAATACACTGTCTAGGGACCACATTTGCAGGCTCGATGATGGCTCCAGGATCTGGCAGGCAGGAGGGGCGAAATGTGTTCTGCCCAGAAATATTTGAATCTGCAGGTGGGAGGCAGACTAAATACATATGCTGGGAGGTCCCGGGGGATATTTCCCCTTCTGCCTGCCATGCCTTCTCTCAGGAGCCATTAGGGATCCCTGGGACCTGCACCATTAAGTCCAAAATCTTGGTTTAACTTCAGCGGTGGGATTTCCCATGGTCCCATTCCACCCTTACACTCCTCCACTGAACTCGCTTTTCAGTTCCTGGATGCCAGAGACCCCGTGGTTTCTTCTGCACATCCCCACTTCCCCGCTAGCTCTTGCTGGCTGCCTCTTGTAGCAGGTATCGCTCTGTAGCCAGGCATCCCTCACCCTTACTTTGTAGTCGAATCCCACTCATTCTGAGAAATTACTGCTTGGTCCCTTGGCCCTGTGCTTTGGTGGAGGCTGGGGGGAGCACCGGACTTCAGTTATCCTTGCACAGTGCTGCATTCAGGGATGGGCAGGTAACCCAGGCCGAGCTTGTGAAAAGTAGTGTGACTAGCACATGCTAGAACAGAAGCATGAAGCTGAAGCCAAGAATATCAACCCGAAATTCAGTAGATAACAGTTCAGTGAGTGGGAGGAGCCAGGAGGCAATGTTGGACCCCAGAATCAAGGCGGGCTGAGCTCCTCCTGAACTTGACAGTTAAATGAACCAATAATGATGTTTTGTTACTTGCATTCTAAGGATTTCTGACTGATATGCTCTGCCTGGATGCTTCCCTTTCATGTCTGCAGTGGCTGGCATCCTCCCAGCCCACTGACACACCCTCTGAAAAATCTTTGCCCATGGAGCATTTGTCCAACTGGACATCTCTCCTTCCTGAGCTCCTGAAGTACTCACTGCTTTCTCCAACCTCACAGAACCACCTGGCACAAGCTGTCTTCATCTTGCCAACATCTCTCCCATAAAACCTAGCACAGAAGCTGGCAGGAGGCAGTGTTCAGTGGATGGAAGGACAGGTTGAGTGAATGTAAGCTCCAGGAGAGCTGGGACCTTGCCGTAAAATCTGCACCTCATGCTTAAACCAGCGCACTGCCTGTCATGGGTGCTCCCTTGATGATTTTGCTTTTGAGGGAGAGGCTGGACAGAGAACTGAGCAGGCAGCCAGCATTCTGCCCACTCTGCCTTCTTTTCCTTCCTCTGAGCTCCACATGGTCTAGCCACAGCCTCTGTGGTGAGGAGGGCCATCCTGATGTTGCCAGAGTTGCCCTCAGGGCTTTTTCACTCTGCCTTCCCCAGCCCTACCCCTCTCCCCAAGACCCCACACTCCCCAGTGTCAGGAAGGAGCAAACTGATCTCCTGGGGAATGAAGCTCTGGATATGAAGTTGATGATTGGTTTGAGGCCGTGATGTCTTACTTTAAAGCTCCTGGAATCTTTTTTTTTTTTTAATATTTTATTTTATATAATTCTTACACCTTTTTTCATTTTTGCACAATGTATGCATTTTCATTTTGGTTATATTCCCCATACTATTGCACCCCCCACTTATTTTGACGCTAGTCCTTCCTCTCACCGCCCCCCCCCCCAACCAGTGTGTCTCTGGTTTATTGTTGCTTGTTGATTTTGACTTTTACTTTGTATTAATTAGTCTTTTTCCTGGCCCCTTATTTAGGTTTTCTAAATTCCTGCTACGAGTGAGACTATCCGTATTTTTCTTTTTCTTTCTGACATATTTCGCTGAGCATGATCCCTTCCAGCGCCATCCATGTTGCTGCAAACTGCATGTGTTTATTTTTTTTGATTGCTGAATAGTTCCTGGAATCTTACCCCACAAGGCACCTTAGTCCCATCCACGTAAGCTATGGCCCGAATTGTTCCAACAGGAAAAGATACCAAGAATCACTAACTTTATGCCCATGATGCTCAGATGGAATGGGGCAAAGTATGCCAGGCTAGGGCCATGTAGCAGGCCTGGTCACCAGCACTGGCAGATTTACGCAAGTGTGTGACATCAGGGTGCCTGTGTCTGTGGTTTTGTGTGGACTGTGCACAGTATGTATAGCTGTGTATGTGGATCTGACTTGAATGTGTGGGTCTGGACATGTGCCCACGGATCTTCTATGCGCTCGGATATATTTTTCAAGCTGTGTAAATGTGGGTGTGGGTTCCTTGCAAAAAAACCCAGGTGTACACAAAATGCCCAGAAGATCATGCCTATAGGGAATGGGAAGGGCTGGCTGTGGGTGACCCATGGGTCCCTCTCACTGTCTTAGGTGCCACAGAGGGCTCGAGCACAGCGCTGTTTACTAGAAGTTTCTCTGGCACTGGTAAGGGGTGATCTGTCCTGACCCTCACGGCCCTGGTCAGGACAGAGCCCTCGCCAGCTTGACCTTGCTTCTGAGCCTAACCTTGTCCCTGCTGGCTGTTCAGAAACCAGGCTCCCTGTCTTTACTTCCCAAACATCCCCAGGTTCTCAGAAAAGTCCTTAGAATTCTCTTAGCGCACAGGCTCTGGGGCAATGGAGATGGTTCTTGGAGCTGACCTGGAAGAAGGACCACCAGGCAGGACTGCCTACCCTCTGCCCTGTGAAGTATGGCGTGAGCTTGCCCAGCAGTTACTCCCTGTGGAAAAAAATGCTTTTCTTCCCTAGGTGCCTTCAATTCTACCATTGGTATGTCATGCCTGATCTTTGTAATCATGAACTTCCCTCAGGACATATGTAGTGGGCTGTTCTCTGAAGTCTTGATGAGGAAAGGGTTAGGAAGGAAAAAAAAAAAAAAAAGTGGCGCCGATAAGACTTGCTGGGTCAGGGCAGGTAGTGACTAGATGCATGCTTGGGTGTCTCAGTCTTCCTACTGCCTCAAGGCCTCTGCCAGGGGAGGGAGGGTGCCCCTGACAGAAGGCATTCCCAGGCAGAGGGCATAGATCTGCATGTGCCTCAGGCTCCTTTCCCGCTGACATTGGGGGCTGACCTTGACACTCCTGGGCTACCCCCAGTCCCGTTCCCAGTCACCGGCGGTGATGGTGCACACCACTGACTCTATTTCACATGCTGGAAAGCTGAGTGAGGCGAGGGAGGGGGAGGAAAGGACTTGAGGACATGAAGTAAATTAGCTGACTGGAAGTCAGGTTTCTATAATTTAATTTACAATTTAGAGAATTGAAGGCCTAAGATATCAAGCCCTAGGAAGCTAGGACATAGGAAGCTACAACACAGAACAGATGGGCTAGTTTACTGATGGGGTTGGGGGAGCCCCATGGGGTGGAGGCCATTTCTGTCCAGAAGATGAAATGGGTGGGCTTCCAGGAGTAGCCCACACTCGGCTGTACTTTTTGGACAGTTCACATTGGAGAAAACTGGCAATGTCAAATTGCACTCTGAAAATTTGAGGACCAGCTGTAGCAAGACTTAAATGTCAAGTGTGTGGAGATGAGGAGGAGCCAGAAAAGTAAAAATATGACAACCAGAAGCACTTTAGAAAAACTCGCTAGCACTAAGGTGATCGGAGGGCCCTGTAGGCTGGGTATGGAGAAAAGAGCCAAGGTGTAAGCTACAGAAATGGCAGTGGGATGGGAAAAGGAACCACATTTTTTTTTTTTAAAGATTTATTTATTTATACATGCACTGGGTACAGTCAGAAGCGCGGGAGGGTGAGAGAATTCACCAGAGCCAGAGGGGAGAGCAGAACAGGCAGACTGACCAAGTACACTGCTGAGGGGAGCAGCGGGCGGCAGGAGAGGTCTGCGCGCCATGTGGGACCCTCGCCCTGTGGCCGGGGATCAAACCGGCACTGCAGAGGCTGCCGACAGCTTCGCAGGCCAGTGCTCAACTGCTGCGCCACCTGGGAGGCCCTGTTTTTACTTCTTTATAGATATATCAACTAGGAAATGAAAATTACACTTGCAGCTTGTCTCACTGCTACTGCTTGACACTGCTGAGTGTTAAAGAAAAAAATACAGTGGGTGGGAGGGTGGAAGCAGACATTTGCAAGATGCGAAAGAGTTACTCATAGTAAACAGGAATTGTCAAGGCCGGCATTATGTTCCAAACTGAGTTTCCCACAAGATTTTCCCCTTCCACTGGACTTCCTGGGAGAGGAAGTGGCTGCAAATGCATGGAAAAGATGGTGCTTTCTAGAGAGAATGATAAGCCTGTGAAGTGGCCAGGAGGGTCAGAAAGCCAGGTGGGAATAGGGGAGGTAGGGAATAGGGAGTGCCACAGAGCCAAGGCAGGGGTAGGGGCAGAGAGGGAGGCCTGAAGCTTCAGAAGAGGGTGGGGAGGTGAAGACCCCATAGGAGCCCCTCTGCTCAGGCTCCGTGACTACCTGGGCAGAGCTCACTCATTGAGCCGCAGGCGGTAGCGGAAGCGCACGTCATGACTGGGCTGTGCAGTGCCAAAGCCCCAGCGGTAGGGGTCCACGGGTGGCACAGGTGTGTCAGAATCCACCAGCTCCAGGTCAAAGTGGGTGACCATGAGCAGGATAAAGAGCTTCATCTCACTGAGGGCCAAGAACCTCCCAGGGCAGATGGATACACCGGAGCCCCACGGCATGGTATAGTGGTGGATCTTCTTGCCTGCCTTGTAGAAATCCACTTTTCGGGTGCCATTGGGGTTGAGGAAGCGGTCATACTTGAAGGCAGTGGGATCAGGGTGGATGTCAGGGTCCATGTGCACTGAGAGGTAAGGGAAGAGGGTCACTATGTCTCCAGAGCGGAGCAGGTATTCCTTTCCGCTGGCCATCTTTAGCATCTGGTCACCGTGCACCACCCTGTAAAGCGTGGGTGCAGCTCCCAGCCTCAGCGTCTCCTCCATCACGCTGTCCAGCACTGGGAGCTGGCGCAAGACACTCACATCAATGTCAAAGGACTTCCTCTTCTCCCCCAGGACCCGGGTGGCCTCCTCCCTCACAGCTTGCATGGCTTCTGGATGCTTCAGGAGGAAAATGAGGGCCCAGAAAGAAGCAGGTCCTGTGTTTCCCTGGGAGGCCCAGAGCATCATAAAGTTGAACTTGTCCTGCATGGCTGAGGCTACTCCCTGCTCCTTCAGGTACTGAAGCATGTGGGCTATCCAGCTGCTTATGCTGTCCTTCTGCAGGCCTTCTTCCACAGAGAGCTTCTTGTGGAAGAAACGCTGGAGACGGCCTATCTCTCGCCACTCAAGGGGTCCCAGCAGAGAGTAGACAAACCTGGGGAATAGGCGGTCAAACTTGCGGAACTGTTTAAATAAAATGTCTGCGTGTAGCAGGTCTTGCTCCTTGTTCTTTGTGTGGCCAAACAAGGCCAGGTAACCGGCCTCGAACAAGATCTTGTAGGAGAAGTGAAAGAGGTCATCTTCATGCCAGCAACCGGCCTCCAGGCTCTGGCCCTTGGGCCCCAGTATAACCAAGGACAGGCTGTCCAGCATAACTTGGTTGAGCTCCTCCAAACCATTCCCCATGAGGTACTTGGTGCTGGCCGAGTGTAACATCTGGTGGTCTCCCTCGTTTGATTGGTACCCAAATACTTGCATCACCAGTTTTTTCGCATACTCAGTAAAGTCTAGTTTCCTCTGTGCATCCTTGAGGATGGGGCCATAGGAGAGAGGGTCCATGACAAAAGTGAAATACTGACCCCCTAGTTGCACCGTGAATATGTCCCCATGCTTGGTTTTCATGTCCTTCAGGAATTCAAACATATTCTTCCGGAAAGTCATAGCATGGCCCAGCCAGGGCACGGAACCTTTGTCCAGAGGGGGCTCCTGGGGTCTGCGTTGCCGGAGCAGCCCCACCAGGCACAGGTACCCCACAATGGCCAGCAGCAGAGCTCCCAGCACCGTAGTCCAGAGAACCATGGCTGTGTTCTTCCCGGTTGAGCTCTGGTCACACTGTCCTTGTGCGACAGCAGAAATTTCAGGCGGTCTTGACAAGTTGGGGACAGAAAGTTCTATCCACCTGGACCTTGCCCTGTAGGTGCAAATTACAGTAAATAGCTGTGGAAGCCACAGTCAGTAGAAGCAAAATGTTCCCTGGATTTAGCACTTGCTAAAGCCTGGTCATGTGGGAGGGGAGGCAGGGCCAGGAGGGAGTCCAGCTGTGGTTACAGTCCTCTCATCTGTTTCAGGCTTTGCTATGACCTTGTCAGACTCAGCTCCAGCACCTCTTACAGACTTCCTTGATCCCACCCCTATCGCCACCCCATGGCTTACTACCTACACCTTTACTTACTTATGCATTTTTTTATTCATTAATTTGCAAGCTCATTCAGCAGGAATGCACCAAGGACTTACTAAGTTTCACATCCACCCAAAAACCCCTTTTCCTAATTGTTCCTCCACCCCATCCTGGTTCTCTGCTAGAGATTAAACTTCGTTTGGTATCACCTCTTTTCCTTCATCTGTGAAATGGGAATAAGAACAGCACCTCAACAGATGTCACTGTGAGGTGAAAAGAGATAGGACATGCAAAGCAGAGAGACGAGTGCCTAGGTCAGGTTAGTGCTCCATCTGTGTCCACACATATCCTAAAGCTGTCCTTCTACTGCCACCTCCCCTAGGCCACATGGTGCTCCCCTGCCTTCTGGTCCTTTCTTCCTCTTTGGTCTCCAAGTTGCTTCTAAGGCAAGTGAAGAATATGTCCCTCTGCCAGGGATTTTGGTGTTCTGGCTGGAAGGAAAGAGACATCAATGCTCAGACTTTAAGCCTGGGAAGGCAGAGCTAGTAGAGGGTTGCCAACTCCAGCTGGAATGACTCCAGACGAGGCCCACGGCCTCTCAGACTGAGGACTTTACAAGCAGAGGCTCAGATTTCAGTCTCTCAGCCTTTTGCCTGCCACTGGTCCAATTTGCTTACCTATACACTTCTCTACAAAAAGAGCAGATTGAGGGCCTCCCTGGTGGCAAGGGGTTAAGACACAACCTATGAAGCTATCGGCAGCCACTGCAGCATGAGTTCAATCCCCAGCCAGGGAGGTACCCACATGGTGTGGCAGACCTTTCCTGACTCACCCACTGCTCCCCTCAGCAGTGTATTTCAGTAGATCCGCCTGTTCTGTTCCCCACTCTGCCTCTGGTGAATCCTCTCACCCTCCACACCTCTGGCCTGTACCCTAGTTCTTGTATGCATAAATAAATAAATCTTAAAAACAAAGAGCAGATTGAGGCTGAATTTTGGATGAAATGTCCGAGATGACAGAAACCTCATACCAATCACTAGTTCACAATCAAGATAGAGGCTCAGAGAGTAGTGGGGACTTTCTCTAACAGCTGCCCTGACGTGGGGCACTGAGGTGATTTGGCTATTGACTGCAGACCTTCCACGAGGTGTCAGGCCACATCCTTGCCAGCTAAGACATCTGTATCAATAGTCCAGCTCTTGTTGAAAGGTGATGTTCAGACTCAAACAGCTCTAAAAATCCATTACTCTTTAACTTCCTAGTCAACCTGCAAACAGGACTTTGTCTCTTCAGACATTCATGATTTCCCCATGCTCTCTGTTAGGGCTTATAGGTTAAAACTTAGTCTCTTCCTTGCCCAGCAGAGAAGGATGGGACGTTTTAAATGGATAAGGTGGCCCTGAGACCTTAGGCAGGTAGAGGAATCAAATGGTCGTTATTGAAAAAGGGCCATAAAGGCGACCGGTGGCCATTTCTAACACTAGTAAACAGCAGCCAGCGCAGACCTGTGTCCTAAATCTCAAGGCCACAAGGTGAGAGTACAAAAATTCTTCAAACTTCCCTCACCACTCACTTTCCTCTCACCCCGTTTCTCCATCAGGATAATCAATAAATCTGCCTTTTCTATTTTCCATTCCGTCTCTGGTGAACCTTTTCACCCCTAGGCCCTGGTGTCCCTGCACCAGTTGCTGAGTTCCCCCTCACAGTACCCTGTCCAGTGAATTTCCTTTGCCTGGTGCACCTCCCTCAGGCGGGAGCTAGAAATATCCACTCTCTGGCTCTGATGGCTGTGGCTAGAGAGCTCCGAAGTGCAGAAAGTCCCCTGCAGGGTGCAGGCTTGGGCAGATTCAGTGCGGACTCTTGGCTTTGACCCATCACGCTGCACTGAACCCCACTAATGCTAGGCATTCCAGCCCACCGGGCCCGCTGAGGGATCAGATAGATGGGGAGCCTCTGGTGGAGCTGGCCTGCCCCAAGGAAGTCGATCCAGGCGGTTGCCCCCCCAGACCTCCCAACAAGCAGGGCAACGGCGATCCAGAGAGCAAGTGCCCAGGAAGCGCCACGCCGCAGCCCCGCGCCCGCAGGCCACCGTGCAGCGGCTGGTGGGTTGGGAGGCCTGGAAGGACCAACGATATGCGGACGCGACCTCCGGGAGTGCTAGAGAGGACCGAGTTCCGGGCCCGCACTTTCTGCGCCTGCGTGTCTAGGGTGTCGCGCTGGACGGTCCTCTTTGCGGAAACCGACTCTTCGTGGTTCCGTCAGCTTTGGCGCGGAGGCTGTTAGTGTCCCTCAGTTCCCCGGTGGCGCAGGCAGAAAGGGAGTGGATCTGGGGGCTCAGGGAGGCCATGCGGAAGGGGCTGTCCCCGCCCTCCCCTTCCCACCTCTTGGACTCACTCCTGGTGTTACAGGGCAGCCCCAATACAAAACGGGGTGCCTGACTGTGGGTCCTCACCCGCGCCCTTGAAAGGCCTTATCAATGCTCTACTGCAGGCACACGCGAAAGGTTAATAAAAGGTTTATTTACAAGGGAAGGGCAAGCGAGGAAATGTACAGCTCAGGGAGAAAAATGGGAAACAAAGTTTTAAATGCGTCCTACCCGATCCGCAGATCTGGAATCCCAAATGGCACTCAGAGCTGGCCGTGAGCCAGGAGCCCTGAAGCCAGGAGGTGAGCGATAGCGAGCGAGCGAGAGACCCCCAAGGCCCACGTGTTTGGTTTTTATACCCAAACTGGCTGCTTAACTCCACCCTCAGGTCCCAGCCACCTTCCCTTTGGTGGTGACGGGATTTGTCTTTCCCAGTGTCTTCATGGCTTTAGTCTGGGGTGGGGGTGGGGTCCACAAAGCCTGTATGGGATTAGCTCAGGACATCAATTCCCCCTAACACTGGGAGTTCGTGTCACATAAGCTCAGCAGGAGCGTCCTTCCCATCCAAGCTCACGTCTTATGCCGTATATCATCCAGATTTTGAGCTCCAGGCACCGACTTGAGGGTCCGCTTATATGCTGTGGACCCTGGAGTGCCTTTCTTTCAGCCGGCTGCTAGTCCCTATGCACTGGCTGTCCCTAGTCTTGTTTGCTTTTTGTTCCTATTTTGAATAATATTGACTGCTCTGCTAATGGCTGTCACTGCCCACTGCACACCCCCGGAGGTCAACAGCAGGACATTGACATGGAAATGCAGGGTAGAAATTGTTTCAAATAATAATTTCAAATAAAATAATCTTGAACTTAGGGCTTGACTTATTTATGGCTTCTTTTCCAGGAAAAGCAAGAAAGCCCTCCATTGTAGTTGTTCGGAACACCCTGGCCCCAGGTTAGCTATGTTACTCCTAGTCTGCATCACACATACTAGGTGGCAACTGAAGTCAATGCAGGGCTTCAATGACAGTCCTGGATTCTTATCTCATCTCTGTCACCAACTCACTGGGACAGGACCCCAGCCATGCTGGAACAAATGAGCTTGTAGACACCTAACCCATTATACTTTCCACCTCTCAATTTTTCAAACTACCCAGTTACACCATATTCAGTGGTTTTCAGGAACTCAGGGACCCAGCTACCTTTGTGGCAGTCTCTAGGTTAATATCAAACTGTTATAGGACAGGGAGAGGGGCAGCCCAAACTCCGCAAACCTGCCTATTCTAAATGGGTTCTGCCATCCGCCGCATCAACACAAAACATATGAGATTTTAATGAAAAGGAACATCAGTGCAATTAGTAAACAGTACAGGAAAGGCAAAGAGTCTAGTTTCTAAATCAAGCACCCAAAGTTACCCGTCCCCTCGTGGGTAAAAGTCCATCCATAAGGGATTGGCCCATCTTCCAGTGGGGACCCACAGAAAAGGGTCAGAAACAACCAGACAAGCCCAGAAGGAAAAGAGCAAAATCAACATCAAGATAAAAGCTGCCATTGTCACCTCCCCATGGGTCTCGCCCACATCTGTGTCATCTAGTCCATGACCAAAAGACAAGCGCAGTTTCTTCACGTGTCTCTAGGCTCCATGCGCCTCCTCAGGTCTCCTGGCTCCATCCTGCTTCCTTCCTCAGTCTCTTCTGCAGCTTCTCCTCTCCCTGCTCAGCTCCATCTTCCCTTGGGTGGGGCAGGGAACCTCCCTCTTTCCTGGGGACCACCCTGTTACAAAACCATCTTATTGTTTGGTTTACAGCTGGATTACAGTTCGTTGGCAGATGGGAAGAAAAGTTGAAGACCCAAAACAAGACCTGTAGCTTCAGTGCAATGGACCCTGAAGTCCTAAACCCTATATAATCCCAAGCCTATCCTAGAAGGGGAGCCTTTATTTGAAGGGGGTCTCCTTGGAACTCTTGTCTCTTGCTCTAGCATTTACAATAAACCTAGACCCCTTGCTTTCTGCTCAGTGTCTCAACTCATTTTAGTCTTGATGAGTTCTCAAGAGCCTGACTAAAGTGGTCCAGGGACATTTTTTAGAAATATTTTCGAGCTAACGGGATACAAAAAAAAAGTATCTTTTATATCTAAATAAAGAAACAAGCAAATTTGGGCCAGTAAAGTAGGGTTAGGAACCTACATTTTGGTAAGGAACCATTGGATGTATGGAAACAACTTTAATTAACAGCCCTCGGATCTTGAACAAACCGGTAGCTTTCTGACCGGAAGAATGGAAGAGCTAACCACTCTCCCCAAGTGTGATTAAGGGAGTCATTACTGTTAACAAGTGTCCACCTGACCCAACAGTTTATTGTCTGGGCCACCAAGTAATAGATGCCGCAAACCTAGAAAGTATAGCAAAGGAATGGGACATTCAGGGACACATAAAAAGGCGTGGCATAAAATGTATCATCCAATTCTAAGGGTGAGGGCTGAGTGAACTTTCTTATAACATCTTCCCCCATTATAGTGCATCTGGTGGTAGTCACTGAGCCAAAAAACAAAACTAAAGCCAGGTAAGTGGCTCCTGTATCTAAAAGTAAATCAATAAATTTACCTGCCACTTCAAAAGTTGCCAGCGCTCAGCTGTAGTAATGGGGGTGGTGGTTCCAGGAGTCAGGTCTTTTCTCAGTCCTCAGCAGGCTCTGGGATCCTCAATTAGTGTCACAAGTAAGGGCGATTGGGATTTTGCTCCTCCCTTTCCAATGCCCCGCCTTCTTACGATAAGCACACTGATTTTTGTCCTAGAAAACTTTGTTGTCAGCCAGCTGTCTCCCATTGAGTCGCTTGGAAGCAAGTTTCTTTCTTTCTTTTTTTTTTTTTTAAAGGGCAGGTTCTTTTATTTATTTATTTATTTAAAACCTTTTTTAAAAAAAATTAATTTATTTATTTATACAAGCACTGGGTACAGTCAGAAGTGTGGGAGGGTGAGAGAATTCACCAGAGCCAGAGCGGGGAGCAGAACAGGCAGATGGACGAAACACACTGCCGAGGGGAGCAGCGCCGCCTGTGGGACTTTCAGTCTGTGGGACTTTCGCCCGCTGGGCCGGGATCTAACCGGCTCTGCAGAGGCTGCTGGCAGCTTCACAGCGCTGCTCTCAACAGCCTGCGCCACTAGGGGAGGCCCGGAAGGAAGTTTCTAAGCCCAGACCCCTTTGTGACTTTGGCCCTTCCATCTCTACAGCAACCACAGAGACCTTTCTGTTGCCTCTTCTGATTCATGTAGGCTAGATTACTTTGTTAAACACTTCAAAAAGTTCACTGACCAGGACTGACAGCAGTCTGGAAATCTCTCTGTGGTTTCTGAAGTTGGCCTGAGCCACCTGGGCAAATGCCTTGCTAGCAAGGTTTGCCTTCATTGGAATCGGGATCTCTGTTACCAGATTCCCAGAATGTCTCAGTCAGTCTTTTTAAGAAACATGGCAGGATTTTTATCCTTTAACTCAGTCATATCGTAGTTGACTGATTTATGTTGGCACTTTTCCATACATTGTTAGGCAATAAAGAAATTCCTTATCTTAAGAGGTAGAGTTGGTTGATGTAGTCTCAGAGGACCTCTAGGTTCAAGGTAGTCTCATTTTCAACCTGAAAGGCTGTTTTTCCTGGATTCCAACAAGTCATCTTGTATGCTGCCTCCAGGACCTGGTCTTAGAAACTTGCTTCCAAGTGACTCAATAGGAGACTGCAGCCTGACAACAAAGTTTTCTTGTGCTTATCTTAAGATGGAAAGGGCAGCCCAGGCCTGAAGAGAAATGGGAGGAGCAAAATCCCAATCGCCCTTACTTGTGACACTAATTGAGGATCCCAGAACCTGCTGAGGACTGAGAAAAGCCCTGACTCCTGGAACCACCACCTCCATTACTACAGCTGAGCGCTGGCACCTTTTGAAGTGGCAGGTAAATTTACTGATTGAATGAATATGAGCTTTTTCATCTGTGTTACAATGATGTGTAAGCAGTTTTTGGGCATCTCCCAGGTTCTTTTAAATTTGATTACCAACTATGGCAGGCTGTTTGGTGGGTGTTATAACAAAAACATGGCAAATTTTGCACAGATCCTGATCAAGCCTTAGTTTCATAAATGTCTACACGTAGGGGATTTTTAACCATTTATGCTATAACTTGCAAAACCATTCAAGGTAAAAGATAGTCTCATTCCAGACAGTTCTTAGTTCTTTCAATTTGTTTCCAGCCAGACTTCCTGGTTCTTCATTTTATAGAAGCCAGACAATACTGCAAAGAAATACCATTTTTTTTTCTTTTTAAGTCTATGCAATTTAAACTTTACCCAACTGTTCAGGATACAGTACATAGGGGAGTCTTTAGCAATACTTTCCTGACTTCCTATTACAATAGATCTTACACTCAATTATATATTAGCCTTCTTGGGGAGGAATTTGAGCAATTATAGGAAATGATTATAAAAAGATCATGAGTTATGTGACACTGCTCAAGTGTCACATTTTCAGCTTGCATGATGTCCCATTTTACCAGTGAGAGAGAACTGGGGTAAGATGTCAAAGCTAAGAGAAAAGAAAGAATGGGTGGACTCACTGTGTAGCCATAACATGTTTCAACCAAAAAACAAAACATAAGATGGCAGAGGAGGTAGGCAAAAGGTGCAAAAGAGGAGGAGAAGGAGAATACCAGCTTTCTCTCAGAACTTCTTCTGGACAGCAATTGGTGTTCCTCGCACTGCAAGTAGCTTTAGATAATCGATAGAACAGGAACAGAAGCAATTCCCCATAGAGGACAGGGAGCATAGGGAGCATAGGGAGCATAGGGAGGTATAGTAAGAATGAGAAGAGAAAAGCTTAATCAAATCCAGCCTCATTTTGAGCAACCAGAGCAAAATAAACAGCCAGAAGTATGTCTGTGAGATTGAGTTCCAGAGTCTGGAGGAATTTGAGCAATTATAGGAAATGATTATAAAAAGATCATGAGTGAGCTTCTGCACAGCAAAAGAGACAATAACAAAAACAAAGAGAAACCCCACCGACTGGGAGAACATTTTTGCACCCAACACTAATGATAAAGGACTGATCACAAAAATTTACAAAGAGCTGATGAGACTCAACAAAAACAAAGAAAATAATCCAGTCAAAAAATGGGCAGAAGAGCTAAAAAGAAATTTCTCTGAAGAGGAAATGCAAATGGCCAACAGGCATATGAAAAAATGTTCAACATCACTTGTCATCAGGGAAATGCAAATCAAAACTACCATAAGATACCATCTCACACCAGTGAGAATGGCACATATTAAAAAAACTAGCAACAACAAATGTTGGCGAGGGTGTGGAGAAAAAGGAACTCTCCTGCACTGTTGGTGGGAGTGCAAACTGGTCCAACCACTATGGAGAGCTGTGTGGAGATTTCTGGACCTACTAAACATAGAGCTTCCATATGATCCAGTAATTCCACTCCTAGGTTGCTGCAGGAGGCCTTGTTGCCCCAGCCAGATAAGACACTGGCATGCAGCGAAGCTCAAAGGGCCTCACACCGTGGGGCTGAAGATTTAACATCCCTTCACTTTTTGTTCTTGGTCATAAAAAGAAAAATATTTCCCCCAAAAAATACGTTAGGCACTATATTATATGCATCAGTATACTGCAAATAAACAGCACAGAAAATTATCTGTTAGAAACTAATTATTAAACAATTTGGCCCACTTGACAATGGGAGACAACTTATTGAGCATGCCTGACAAGCATTACAATACAACAATTATAGTAGGTCCTTCTTTTTGTTTTCTCTTGAAGTTTCTTGGGAAAGTTTCTAAATGAAGCTATTTGAGTTAAAAAGTTTGTAGGCAGAAAAAGTTCTGATAGCTGAGTAGCAGCTGGTCTCTGACTGAAGGCCATGTGAATAAAATAGTCTTTTGATGCTTAGGCTTTAGCTGATAGGGGTGTACTGGCGGCTATCCACTGTCTTAGATAATTGTCTAGCTAAAATAATAAGTTTTAGTGTTAGGTATGGTTTTTTTATCTATTAACCTTGAAGGCTACCATCTAACTGGGACCCGTAGGAGCCAGTAGTCCATGGAAATAAAATACACTAATTGTTTCTGCTTTACACATGACAATGTATTTTTTTTTTTGCTTACTAAAAATAAATAAATAAAGACCTGGTGAGTCTCTCGGCAGAAGATACTAGCACCTCACCAAGTGTCAGTGTCTCCTCATTCTACTTCATCCCCTTCCCCTCAGCCCTTTCGTTTTCGCCAACGCCGTCTCATCCTTTCAGGAACCCCTGACACAACATTTTGCTGGAGGCTGGTCCCCGGCACTAGGACACAGAAACATCAATTCCAAAGAGCACCTGCACCCCTATGTTTATAGCAGCACTATTTACAATAGCTAAGCTTTGGAAACAGCCCAAATGCCCAAAAATAGATGACTGGATCAAGAAGATGTGGTACATATATACCATGGAATATTACTCAGCATTCAAAAAAGATAAACACATGCAATTTGCAGCAACATGGATGGAGTTGGAAGGGATCATGCTCAGTGAAATAAGCCAGAAAGAAAAGGAAAAATACCGGATGGTCTCACTCATAGCAGGAATCTAGAAAACTTAAATAAGGGACCAGGAAAAAGAATAACTATAAGAAAGTGAAAATCAAAATCAACAAAAAACTATGAACCAGAGACACTCTATGGTGGATGGGGGGCTGGGAGGGGAGGGATTGGGGTCAAAATAAGGGGGTTGCAATTGTATGGGGAATTTAAAAATAAAATTTATTTAAAAAAAAAAAGATCATGAGTTATGGGGTAACAACTCCTAAGCTGGTCTTGGCATGACTCATTTATCAGGGTGGGAGATGTTCTAGGATGCTACAGATGATGTGGGTAAGACATGGGGAGGAATGAGGAAGAGCTGAAGTGATTGTTGCAGAGACTAGTCATGACAATCATGTGGTTGTGGAAAGTGAGAAACAATCCCAGTTGGTAAAAAGAGAATACCTTAGACTTTGGGAAGTCAGGGCAGAAGGATTGTTAATCTCTGAGCATTTGTCTATAGGATATCTAGCCAATAATATCAGGCTTCTACTACCACTACTGCCCAAAAAGTGGTATTAAACTTCTTAGAATCTAGAAGGGGCTAGCCTCAGCAAGAAATAACTGAGAAAGATTAACTTACTGAACATTGATGTGATTCCCCATAGCCTCATCCTGTTATTGTGGGGCTCCTTTGTACATTTTTCCACTGGCCACTTGTTCTAAATTCTCTAGCATGAGGGGTAATGGACAACCGTATTGCACTGGATTTTTTGCTGGTGAAATATGCCATTACCATATACGTGTTGCCTCACCTGAGCTAGTGACATATTAGGCTGACTTGGCTCTGGATAGGAAGCTGCCTATGGTGTATTCTCCAGTCCTGCTTATACTACTGGGAGTCACAATTATGATTACTCTTGTCCACTGTTGACTAAGACAAATGGAATGCATGTGGATGAAGCCTCTATCCAAACAATTAGAGTATCTAATGCCTTATGTAGCGGCTTATGCTCCTGAGAACTCTTTATACATAAACAATATGCAAGTGGAATTGTAGAAGAATGGCTCCATAATGGTGCCCTGCCAGTTCTGCTCACATTTATATAAGGAAAGGTCATATAAGGCAAAGGTTTGCATAACAGCTAATCAGACTTGACAGTTCACATTCTGATCCTTCTAGAACACCAGCAATGCCAGGAGCTTTACAAGCTTTATAAGGCCATCTCCTACTCCCTCCCCCAACTCTTGCACAAGGTTGTCATGAGACCGTATTTCATTTGACTCCCATATTCTGATGAGGAATGTGGCTTTCTGCGACACTGTCCTCAGGACATTACGGCAGATTACACCACTGCCTACCCACGCCACAAAGCTGGCTCCTCTGCAAGGGGTATTCCACAACTCAAGTTGTAGTCATCCACTTCTCTTTTGTTGTCATTGTTTCTGGTGTGTGGGACGAGGACCTAGGGAGCTGGCAATCCCCATCCAGGCAGCGGCACCCGGGGGCGGTGGGTAACAGGGGAGTCGGGTCCGCTTGGCCCTCCTCCTGCTTTGCAGGGCGAGAATGGAGGACCACAGAGACGCGGCGCCCTCCGCGGTCCTAGACAAGCCGGAGAGGCTCGAGAGCTGCAGCCTCCACCTCTCCGGTGCAGAAATCTGGCTGGCGCTGAGCGCGGGGACCTGGACTTGTGACTGACTGCGCTGGCGGGACGTGGAGTCTGGGTCTTGTCCTGGAGAGTCTGGGGCGCAGGGCCGCGATGTCAGGCCCGTCCGGGTTCCTCCCAGATCCCGGGCAGCCCCAGGTCAGACCCGGCGCACGCTGTCCTGCCGGCGGGGCGCCCGGGACCCTGGCGGCCGCGGCCCTGACAAACGGGGCCCACCTCAGCCCTGCCCTCGAGCTGCTGTCGGGAGCGGCCGGGGCGCGCCCGGTGAGTGCGGGGCCGGGCTCCGCCCTACCCCGGGCTCTGGGCCCAGAGAAAGGGCGGAGAGGGGGTGGTGTGGCGACCGGAGATCAGGATCCCCCACACCCCCACCCCAGTAGGAACAGGCAGGGAGCAGAGTGGATTGGACACCCCTGACTTGTGCGGGCAGCTGCATAGGCATGAGCCTAAGTGTTGGGGCCGATGTCCCGTCCCCCAGAGCGCTTTGCTCGGCGACCACTGTCCAGAAATGTTATGACAGATTTTACAGAAGTGGTCATGTTTGAGGTGGGTCTTGAGATGAACATGAAGTTTGCGCTGGAGGAAGGAACTGGATCTTCAAGCAAGGGGCGCTGCAGGTGCAATGGCACAGATCCTGGCAGAGTTTGGGTTCCTGGAAGGGTAGAGGAGGCTGGTGGTGCGTGAGGCCGGTCAGGCAGCAGGGTCTCTGAACGGTGCTGTGGTGCGGGGTGGGGCTGGGGGGCGGCCGTTTGGACTGTGTTTAGGTCGGCAAAGGTGAGCCTGTGGGAGCCAATGACCCCGATGTGGATAGTCACTGCGGGGACTTGATGGGGCTAGAACTGCCCCTGACAGGGACCCGCCACAGAAGAGACAGATTCTGAATGGGGCGTTGCTTGGGAATTGTGAGAAGTGTTGATGTGTTTGTGTTTTTTGAGGAAGATGGTGAGAGAGAAAGGGAAGAAAAGATGCAGGAGCCCAGGCTTCCAGAGAGTGAGGAAGAGGGACTTTAAGACTGGAGGTTGGGGGGAAAGTAGGGGCGTTTTAGAGAGTGCTGGGGTGGGGGGGTGCAGGGAGTGACGTCAGAGCTGGAATGTGGCCTGTTGAAGACAGCCTGGAGAGCTGTACTGAGTTCCTGAAGAGCCCTTGGCTGCCTCCTTGGTGACCAGGAGGCAGAGAAGACAAAGAGTCCTTCACAGGGGTGGCCCCGGGGCAGGTTGAGGACAGAGGGAGGCATAGCAGGCGAGAGCCAGGGTCCATCCGGCCTGAGTTTTGGCTCAGTTCTGTAACTCTGCCGGGAAGAATATCTCTAAGCCTTGGTTTTCCCTTCTATAGAACAAACCTAATACTCTCCTCGTGGGCTGTGAAGCGTACACAAAGTAATACATGTAAAGTGCCTGGCACAGGCCCAACAGATGATAGTTGCTCTTTACCAGGGGTTGGTGACCTCTGAAGGAGGACACATTGTGGACAAAGGCTGGCACCTGGAGTCCAGATAGTTGGTTTGGCTATCGAGGTGAAAGGGAAAACTTGAAGAGACTAATGAAAAAAGTTGAGAGGATGTCTGAAGAAAAATGAAGACACTTGAGCAACAGGGAGCAAAAATCTGCTAAGTTCCCTTAGACATGCAGAATCTAGAAACTCAACAGGTATCTCTCTCAATTCCCCGGGCTGTTCAGGCCTGGGTCCTGGGATTGTCCTAGGGCATTTATTTATCTATCTATCTATTTATTTATTTATTTTTAAAGGATATACTGCTGTAAGGGGGGTATTAAGCTTCTTTTTATTTTTTTAAGATTTATTTATTTATACAAGAACTGGAGTACAGGTCAGAGGCGCCGGAGGATGAGAGAATTCAGCAGAGACAGAACAGGGAGCAGAACAGGCAGAAGGACCGAAGTACACTGCTGAGGGGAGCAGTGGGCGGCAGGAGAGGTCTGCCGCGCCATGTGGGTTTCTCCCTGGCCGGCCAGGAATTGAACCTGAGCTGCAGAGGCTGCGGACAGCCTCACAACGTGGCACTCAACCCGCTGCGCCACCAGGGAGGCCCTGTCCTAGCGGATTTAAATACATGTCATTTCAGGAATCAGTGACCTTTGAGGACGTGGCCATCTACTTCTCTGAGAATGAATGGACAAGTCTGGACCCTGCTCAGAGGACCCTATATACGGACGTGATGCTGGAGAATTATGGGGCTCTGGCTTCCCTGGGTAAGGGCCTTTCCGTTTGGACTTTGCCTCTTCCTCAGAGGCTCAGGAATCTTTGCTAATCCTCAACTGAGTGGCAACTTCAGGCTCTTGGATTCTTCATGATCCAAGTTAAATGATCCAAAGTAACTGGAAAGTGGGAAGTGCTGGTATGAATTCAGGCCTCACATAGGACTTCCTTGGCCCAGGGAGAGCTGCCACTTCCTAACCCCTGTGCTGTGGGTTCAGTGGGAAGAGAGTAGATTCCTGGCACCCCACTGAGCTCTCAGATCCCTCTCTCAGTTTGGGAGACCCTGCTCAGCACCACGCACCTTCGCATCCCATGCAGATGTTGGAGCTCTAGAACTCTGAGGAGCAAGAAAGCGTGATTCCTCACGCTGAGTGAAATCATCCATTTGCTCACTCTAGCTGTTACTGAGCACCTCCTACTCTACTTCCTGACCTCTGTAAGCCTGCCAGCCCCTCTCCCCTGCGTGTCCTGCCTTCTCCCCAGACTTCTTTTCTCATTCTCCTTAGTTTTTCCCCTTCTTTCCTTTTCTGTCCCTGAAGACTGGGCCTGGGAGGAGCCCTGGGGCTGCTCCATGTCACCACACTCACCTGCCTGTCCATTTCCTTCCCCTCAAGCAGCATTTCCATTTCCCAAACCGGCTCTGATTTCCCAGCTGGAGCGAGGGGAAGCACCCAGCTGCTCAGCTCCTCAGGGAGCTCTGGATGGAGAGGGCCGGAGGGGTGTCTCCTCAGGTGAGTGAGGACACGTATGCGGTCATCTGGTCAGTTCCCTTGTCTTTATCTTTAAATTGTATTAGGTGTGTATTCCCTTCACCTAGAGCTGTGGACACCAGTAGGATTCCTTTTATTCCTCTGTGTTCCCATACTTTTCCATCTTCGTCAGTCTTTGTTTTATTCACCCTGGCTCCTCTGTGCCATCTTCATTTACCTGTTTTGCTTCTTCCCCATTTCCACTGTTCTTATCATGACCACATTTATCTTTACTCCCTGACTTCTCTGTTTATTCTCTGAGCTGCAGTACCCTTTCTGCTTTTCTGGTGTATGTATAGTCTTCCAGCAGAAGATTCTGACTGCCCGTTGTTACATCATGACCACCTTTACCATTACAATCAAGAAGTCTCAATAACCCTAAACAAAATAGTCCCTATTCTGCAGGGATTTCTGGTGTGGAAAACACCGACATTCCTTTATAACCAACATGGGGCTTTCCTGCTCCTAATTTTCTAGTGATAACTGTGTCACTAGACCTCATACCTCCCTGACTTCATTCTACCTTATTCCCATAGGGGCTTTTTAGTGGGCACAGGTGACTTGAATTATGCTCTCAGCTTCTCCATTCTCATAGTTTCTTTTTTTTTTTTTAAAGATTTATTTATTTATGCATACAAGAGCTGGGGTACAGGCCAGAGATGCAGGGGGTGAGAGGATCCACCAGAGACAGAGTGGGGAACAAAACAGACAGGCTTATCTTTTTTTTTCTTGCCATTTGAAAATGATGTTTTTATATTTTGGGGAACTGATGGAAGAGCAACTTCCCTGCACCTCTGTTTCCTATCATATTCTTATGCCCCTCGAATTTCAGTCCTTTATGTTACCAATTTTTCCATTCACCTTCATCTCCCCTTACTACTACCATCTTTACTCTTTTCCTAATGAATTCCACTACTCTAACTGAGAAGCTTTATTTATATCTTGACTCTGACAGGAAATCTATTTTTAAAGTCTACTGGGATCTCCCATCTTAAGCAGGTAGAACCATTGAACCTGAAACTGCAAGGAGAGTGTTCAAGCCTAATTTGCACTGGTAAGTGAGAGGGAAGTGAATGCTCTCCTCCCAATCACATATTTTCCACTGTCCTTCCTTGGTAAAATGTTATAAATCCATGTTTCCATTTATTTTCTAAATAAAAAGACTCTCTAAAAATCCCCATATCAGCCAATTAATCAAGTAGATATGTCAACTCTAAAATTACAATTTCATTTGGACAGATTCAACCAATTACATGTGGTTCAGTCCTGGGTCTCAGGCTCAAACTGCTGACTGCTATGGTCAACTATTATTTTAAAAGTAAACACTGTTTTTTACTTATTGTGTTAGTTGTTAGTATCAAAACACATGTAACATACAGACTCTATCCCTAAAGAGCTCACAGTCTAATGGGATATTATATATAAACATATAATTACAGCAAAATATAATGCTATAACAGGTATGAATAAGACACTGTGAGAAAAGAAGAGAGAGTCTGCCAATACTGCTTGATGTTATTTGGAGAAGCACTTTTCATGGCAGACCCGGTCATTGGATTGATGAGACTACATTTACTTTTAGTTTGAAAGTATGTGGAAGATTCTTCTTACTGCCTCCCCAAGCTCAGGTACCCCAAGTATTCCATAAGAGAATTTTTATTTCTAAACATATCCTCTGCTCTGCCTCTTGGCTTGATCTTGTTTTATAAACTGGACTGCCTAGAAGGAATTTCAACTTATCTCCCTTAAATTCAATTGAACTCTTTACTAAAGACACCTCTACTTGTCCCCACCTCCCCCCAACCCCGTTAACCCTGTGCTTGATCTGGTGCTGGGAATTGTAGCCACCAGGGACTGTCTGTCTAGTTTCTGTCTTTTGCTTTTGGTTGCTTTCTGAGTATTAGCCCCATATTTCCATTTTCAGTTAGGACAGGGCTACTGAGATACAGAAGTGTCAGTTGAAGAGAAATGTACATACATATTAATACCGCTTGGTGACCTTAGTCACTTGGTTGTATGTAATGATGACCTTTGCAACTCTGGTTTGTTCTTTCAGACAGTATGTTAAAGAGTGAGAAAGAAGAATCTATTCTGAAGGAGGAGATTTTTGAGGAGGCGAAGGATCACATGGTCCTATCAAGTGGACCCCAGTGGTGTGGCTCCCAGGGATTCTGGTTTGGAAAAATATGTGATGCAGAGAAATGCAGAGTAGGGAGATGGCCTGACTACCACAGTGGGGAAAATGTGAAGAACATTGCAAATGATATTATAGAAGTGATTGTCAAAGATGAGATGATCTTAGTAGAAGAGAGTTCAGAGAATACTGACATTAATTCCTGCCTTGTTATACATCAGAAGATGATAAGTGAGCAGGTATTCTATATATGTGAAGAATGTGGTGAGTGTTTTGATCAAAATGACTTTGATCAACATCAGAGAATTCATAATGGAGAGAAAGTCTATGGGTGTAAGGAATGTGGGAAGACTTTTAGTTTTAGATCACAATGCATTGCACACCGGAGAATTCACACTGGAGTAAAACCCTATGTTTGTCAAGAATGTGCTAAAGCCTTCGTCTGGAAGTCAAACCTGATTCGGCATCAGAGAATACATACTGGAGAGAAACCGTTTGAGTGTAAGGAATGTGGGAAGGGCTTTAGTCAGAACACCAGCCTTACACAACATCAGCGAATCCACACTGGGGAGAAACCCTATACTTGTAAGGAATGTGGGAAAAGTTTTACTCGGAACCCAGCCCTTCTTCGACATCAGAGAATCCACACAGGGGAGAAGCCTTATGAATGTAAAGACTGTGGAAAAGGCTTCATGTGGAACTCAGATCTTGCACAGCACCAGAGAGTCCACACTGGGGAGAAACCTCATGAATGTACTGACTGTGGAAAAAGCTTCATTTGCAAGGCACACCTTATCCGACATCAGAGAATTCATACTGGGGAAAGACCCTATAAATGTAATGACTGTGGGAAGGCCTTCAGTCAGAATTCTGTTTTGATTAAGCACCAGAGACGCCATGCTAGAGAGAAACCCTACAACTATCAAACCTCTCACCTTCTTGAACACTGAAGAATACATAATGGTGATACTTACAATTCTTATGCTACTGAAGATATTGAGAAATGACTTGTCCACAATTTGCTGGACCTATAATAGTCAGTGTTATCTTACCCTTCTCCTGAAAAGATCCTGAATTTTAGTGAGACTGGCCCCTCTGTTCAGCCATGTTCATACTAGGCAATATTTAGTTGAGCACCTACACTTAGATACCATGGTAATCACTTTATATACTTTTTGATTTTTTCTTAATAATTCAATTAAGGTAGGTGCTCATCTCATTTACACAGGAGAAATCCAAGGTTGAAAAGTTTAAAAAAACTCATTCATGTTTACTTATGAGTTGTAGAATTGAGATTAGACTCAGGCTTATCTAACTCCAGAGTCTACTGTTTATTTGTGTACATTTTTACTTCTGTCCATAATTGTTCAAATTTCCCTGGGCTAAAAGTTTCCCTTCCTCATCCGAGACCCAATTCCTTCAACTGAACAGAAGTTACTTCTTCTACTTGCAATTGGTACTGCACAAGTTGGTATTTAATTATGTCCCATCTTATGTTTTCCTAATAGTCTCTTTACTGTTAATATTGACTCCAGATCAATGGCTCTTCGAGGACCGACACTGCATATCTTTTATGTTTTTCAAATTTTGAAACTTATTTATTATTGACTAGATATCTAACATGCTCATGATAAAAGAAATTAATTAGTTCAAAAAATATGTTCAGTGAAAACTAAATGCCCTTGTCACTCCTGTATTCCAGTCCTCCTAGAGGAGGGAGTTGTGTATCATTGTTACATGTTGTGTATCTTTCTGGATATAGTCTTTCTATATAGCTAGCCAGTCATGTATTGCCTAACAATTTTTTGGTCAATAATGGACCACATATATAATACACTGGTGGTCCCACTTAGCTATAGCATATAAACTAGGTGTTTAGAAGGCTATACCATCTAGGTTTGCATAAATGTACTCTATGACATTCACACAATGACAAAATTGCTGAATGACACATTTCTCAGCATGTATCCCAGTTGTTAAGTGACACATGACTGTATATGTACACATAAGTATTTATTAATACTATTCATAAGTCTACCTCACTGGAAACCTTACTTGACACAGATGAGACTGTAGTTAATTGCCAAATGCAGGCCTTTTTCTCTTTCAGAACTTGTGGCTTTCTTTGATGTTACCAAAGTTAACTTAAGGAAATCAGTGGAAGGTAATCTGGGTTGTGCAATTTGGGAACCCTGATTACTCTTGCACTACTAGATAGCAGCCTGGGAATGGGAAAATGTAAATCAAATTTGGGATTTTATTTTATTTATTTATTTTTTTAAAGATTTATTTATTTATTTTTTATTTATTTATGCAAGCACTGGGTACAGTCAGAAGCGCGGGAGGGTGAGAGAATTCACCAGAGCCAGAGCAGGGAGCAGAGCAGGCAGAAGGACCGAAGTACACTGCTGAGGGGAGCAGCGGGCGGCAGGAGAGGTCTGCGCGCCATGTGGGACCTTCCTCCAGTGGCTGGGGAGCAGCCGAGGATCGAACCGGCGCTGCAGAGGCTGCGGGCAGCTTCACAACCCAGCGCTCAACCGCTGCACCACCGGGGAGGCCCTGGGATTTTATTTTTTAAAAAAAGTGTATAACTACAACCCCTGTCATTACACACTATCCTAAATCCTCTCCCAGTCTGTTCTCATGACAGCCCACATCCCAAAGTAAGCAGAGGAGCCATCACCAAGGGAGGGAGAATGAGCATTAATGCTCTGTTGGGTAGCCTCAGCCAATTGGCAGTTGAAATATAATCTAGTATCTTGGCATCAGAATCACAAATGCCCTTTTTCAATATATGATCAAAGATAAAACACGAACTAGGAACACAAATTCTACACCACAAATAAGAGGAAAGGGAAGAAATAAAAAATTAACTGTACTTGAAATCGGGAGTATATAAAACATTAATATTATTAAAAAGTCAGGTAGGCTGTTAATACAAACAAATTATGAAGAAATACAGGCTAGTAGAGAACAGAATTAGTCATCTTTTTTTTTTTTAAAGATTTATTTATTTATTTATACAAGCACTGGGTACAGTCAGAAGAGTGGGAGGGTGAGAGAATTCACCAGAGCCAGAGCGGGGAGCAGAACAGGCAGACAGACGAAATACACTGCTGAGGGGAGCAGCTGGCAGCTGGGGATTGAACCGGCACTGCAGAGGCTGCAGGCAGCTTCACAGCCCAGCGCTCAACTGCTGCGCCACTGGGGAGGCCCAGAATTAGTCATCTTAAAGGGTTAGAGAACCAAAGGCCCTAATTAGGGGAGAGAAATGCTGATGGCCAAAACAGATGTAAAATATCCCTTTCAGACTCTACTTTCAGAGCTATTTTTCTGACTGCAGTTTTCCCTGTTACTTTTTACACATTCCACTTTTTATATACCCAGCAAGCTGATATGATTGTTAACTAGGGAACAAGGAAGAGAAGCCAGAGGCTAACTTGGCTTAAACCTTTACTTCCTGAAAATTATAGACATATTAATAGCTCTAGAGTCCCTGATTGCTGAATACTAAGGCCTAGTAAGGTGAACTTGGCTTAGCATAATCTAGCTAGGGTAACCTCTAATCAGTGAAAATTTTGTCTTCTATTATATGGAACAAGGAAACGGAAATAAGGGACATGAAAAGGTATTTAGGGGATTAGGTATTTGCCTATTTGTTAGGCAAATAATATTGAGCATCTGTTTATGTGCAAAGCACTATATGTAACAATACATCAGATTTGCTCCCTAGAACATTTAAAAATCCAGTAAAAAAAAAGCATTAAAAATGGACCTCCCTGATGGCACAAGGGGTTAAGCACTGCTCTATGTAGCAATCCACAGCCTCTGCAGCACTAGTTCAATCCCCAGCTGGCCAGGGAACAACCCACATGGTGCAGCAGACCTCTCCTGTCTCACCCACTGCTCCCCTCAGCAGTGTACTTTGGTCAATCTGCCTGTTCTGTTCCCCACTCTGTCTCTGGTGAATCCTCTCACCCCCCTGGCCTGTACCCCAGCTCTTGGATGCATAAATAAATTTTTATAAAAAAGCATTAAAAATGAACAGGAAATAAACAGGGTACAGAGAGAGACTAATGAGGAGGGGCCCTTTTTATGCCTAGCCTTAAAGGTAACATTAAAACTAAGAATCACAAGTGAGACAGGATCACTTGCATCAAGAAGGGCACAGATAGCAGGCAGAGAGAACAGCTATTCAGATTCCCTGATGTGTGAATAGTGTGGCATGTTCAAGAACCCCCAAAGTTGGGGAGATATATTTTGCATAATGGTCAAGGTGAGTGTGGGAAAAATTGGGCTTATAGAGATAGGTGGGCCAGACCATTGAGTTCTACCAAAGTGAAAAGCCAATGAAGGGTATTCAGTGGAGGAAGAACAAGCTTGATCCATATTTTAAGATAATCTCTGGCTGCAAAATAGAAAATGATTTGTAAAGGACAAAAGTGAAAGGTGATGTCATGTTGGAGACTGTTAGTGGCCCATGATGGAGATGATGGTGGCCCAGAGAGGACAGTGGTAATGGAAATGGATACAGGGTAGATTTAAGATTTGGGCAATTAAATAAGTGATCTGATATTGAACTGAATGCAAAGGATAATGAACAAGAAGCAATCATGGGTAAATTTCTGGTTTCTGCCTTGAGCCACTGAGTTGGACAGGTGTCATTTACTGGAATTGAATGAGACTAAGGTGGGAGTATGTGGAAGAAGGAAATCTGAGACTATTTTCAATTTACATTAGAGATATATGGGAAATGTGCAAGAAAACATTTTGAGTATGTAGTTGTATATATGGGCCAGAACTCTGGGTTAGTCATAGCTGGAGTTGTATATCTGAGAGTCATCAAACAAACAAGGTCTATAAAGCCCTGGGAAGAAATGAATGAAGTCCCTGAGAGTACAAGAAGAAATGAATTAAATCCTCTAGAGTTATATTATCTAATACAGTAGCCACTGGCTACATGTAGATACAGCAATTAAAATTAAATTAAAAAAATTCACTTTCTCAGTCATGCTGGCCAGGTTTCAAGCACACAATAGCCACATGTGACAGTTGACCACCATATTGGATAGTGTAGATATAACACATTTTCATTATTGCAGATAGTTCTATTGGACAGTCCTGCCCCCAGAGAGAGTTCAGTAAAATCCATGGTCACAGAGTGGAATCTCATCTACCACCAAGTCAGTTTTTGGGGTATTGAACAGGGGGAATCGCAAGAAGAGATGCTAAGAAAGAGCAGGGTGTGAGGGATTGGCAACATTTTCTTCTATTGAAACGGAGAGTCTAGCACTCCCTCATGCTAACATGTGGCAACTCAGGCTGACACCAATGTCAACAAAGACAGAGAGAAAGGGGTTTTGGTGATATCATTTGATAACACTAGACCAAGTGTTATCTGAAACAGACTTATTTCTTGACTTTTCAGCTGTATGAAACATCTTTGCTAGATGAGTTAAATTTGGGTTTTCTATTTTTTTTAATAAATCTTTTTTTTTAATAGAGGCATGTTTTTATTTATTTATTTAGTTAGTTTTGTTTGTTTGTTTATACATACACTGGGTACAGTCAGAAGCGCGGGAGGGTGAGAGAATTCACCAGAGCCAGAGCGGGGAGCAGAGCAGGCAGAAGGACCGAAGTACACTGCTGAGGGGAGCAGCGGGCGGCAGGAGAGGGCTGCGCGCCATGTGGGACCCTCCTCTGGTGGCCGGGGAGCAGCCGGGGATCGAACCGGCGCTGCAGAGGCCGCGGGCAGCTTCGCAACCCAGCGCTCAACCGCTGTGCCACCGGGGAGGCCCTGGGTTTTCTATTATTTGCTACTTAGTTATATTGAGCACAAGAAGGGGGCAAGTGCCTTACAGAAGGAGACCACCCAGCAGGGGAAGAAGGCAAGGGAATTCGCAGAGGGGAGAGGGATTAGAAAGGAGGTTCACAAGTCTAGGTGATGTCAGCAGCAAGGTGGGAGTTTCAGGGTCCGAGAGCTTTGAAGTGCAGCAGGTCTATGACTAGCAGATAATGGGGTAGTTTCACGGTTATGGAAAGCAGGCAGGTTCTGAATAGCAAAACTTATGCTCATTTGGGTTATATTTAAAGCAACTAGATGAGTAAGAATTCGTAAAACATGCTAAGAAGGTAAATATGTATACCCTTATGCTTGGTAGAAATTCTTACACTTACAGGTTATTATACAACACTTAAACTTACAGGTTATTACTGAACACCCCAAATCAGTAATATTCAATATTGCATTAAATGTTAGGGACGGTGATGTTTTGCTGAACTTAAATTGCTGAATTGCTAAAATGATTAACATGCTAACCACTGTGGTTGGGTTCCCTTGAATTTGCCTTGGCATACCTACCCACTGTGTATCTTGTGAAGACTCCTCCTACCCCTGCTCTCCCATATTTAAAGATCTTTTGGAGGTCATCAGATGCCCCTATAAAGGTCCTGGGTTATACAGACCACTGAGGACTTGAGATAAAATTATCTTGAAAAGATGTGACTTGGGTTCTCTACAAGGGACTCATGGATCCTAGGGGAGTGCTGGTGTCAGAAGGGTATGGCTGAGGGCTGGATATTTCTCTCTATTCAGCCTTCTCAGCCTGTGCTTGTTTAGTAGGAAACAGTGGCTGAGCATGAGTGTGATATAAAAAAGGGTTGTAAACTTCGAGCCCCATGTGGGCCATCACAGTGGCCTGGATAGACACAAAACAACAGGAGGACACCCGCCAGTGATGCACAAGTGAAGCTGAACTGACAGCCTAAGAAATGACAGTGTGAGCAGGACTGTGTGCAGGCTTCTACTTGCGCCAGGACTCGTTGCTTCTGACTCTCCCTCACGCACTCGTGGTCGTTCTTCCTTTGCAGAACCGAAATGCACCATCATTTTGATATCTCGACAGTCTTCTGGGTGTACAATGACTTTGCTACTCTATTCCACGACCTTCACTCACTCAGCAAACGCTTCTGAGGCTCCTCAGGCTCCTCTCTCCTGAGGTCCCGACCCCAGCCAGGTTTCCCACCAGGGCCTTGTTTGCTCTTTCAGGCCTACAACAGCAGTTGGGAAATCACCGAAGAGGGGCTGGGCCTGTCAGGGCAGGAAACAGGCATCGTCTCCAAGAAGGATGACCCGTGCATGTTCCACTGCTCACCAGCCCAGCTTCACCCGCTTTCCCATGACATGACGGCCCCCCTCTTAGACCCCGTCCCCCCCTGGTGTCCATCACTTGGACTAACCTCGACTCGCAACCAGGTGCAAGACTGGAAACCCTCCCAGCCTGCCTGCCTTATCCCCAGAGGCTGTCTAGCAGGAACTAAAGGGAGGAACCACAGAGATGTGAAGTCCTCCGACATTGCTAGAGAGAATTTCAGGGAGGGTATGGGCTTGCCAGCTGCGTGATGACGCACTTCCTGCGTAGCCTTTGTTACCGTTAACGTGTGAGCCTTTGGTTTGCGAGGGTCGCCATTTGGTGCCCAAAACCTCTGTTCGCTGCAAAGCTGCAGAGGCTGCCTAGAACCCACGGTGAGAGGTTCTGGCTCGGCCTGAGAAGGAATCGAGGGGCCCTGGGGGAGCAGGCGCCCCTGTTGCTGCTGCTGCTGCTTCTCCTCCTGACCCCGGGGGACTCTGGCCTATGGGGGGGGGGGGCAGGCCATGAGCTCCAGCGCTCTGGTTTCTGGTCTCCAGGACAACCTGCGGTCTATTTAGATTTGAGTATTGATACAAATTCTAGCGTTGACACCAAGGTCCTCAAAAAATGTTGACTTTGCTCCAGGACTGCTGCCAACAGGAGAGCTTGCCCCTCCACGGCTCCAGTCACCTCTTGACCCCACTGGAGAGACCCCCTCCCTATGCTGTGTGGAATAACACTTTCTTCCTTTTCAGGTGGTTCTGGGAAATTGGATCGTGATCAGCTTATTCACTGTATTTGCCAGGGCGGGTGTAAACCCAGTTGGGAAGCTTATTACTGTTCTCAGCAGTCAGTTTTGAGAGCACTGAAAGGGTTCTCCCCAGCTCCCCCTCCAGCACAGCAGGGTGGGGGCTACTTCGTCCACAAATTGGAAAATGTGGAGCCTTGGATTCGTGTTGTCTGATATGAATATTCAGTGTAACAATCACGACGGGTGCTATTGACAAGTACCTGATCTATGGGGAAGGTGGGGCGTAGAGTTTCCTATGGAAGGCAATGGCGAGGAGCAACCATTTCTCAGTTCTCTTCACATCCTTTATGGCCTTCTTCACATGACATCCCCTCCACTTTTACTCAATTGTTTTTTCAAATTCTATTCTGACTTTTATTACTAGTGTAATAAAACTGCCCTGTCCTAATTTCTTAAGTAATGCCAGGGGAAAACCAGTGCTATGGCCACCTGGAGTTTTATGGATTTCTTGGGCTCTCCCCTAGAGCCCCAGCTTTATTTTCAGCCCGTGGCGTTCTGTCCACGGTCCACCCTGCTTTCCTTTTCTGACTTCTTTCTGATGTCTTTTCTGGTAACGGGGGATAATTTTTGTACCCTTTCTACATTTCCCTATATACCTGATATCTTAACTCTATTTGCCACTTACGCAAGGCAACAACTAATGAGTAATAGTTCACATAGCCTCAGAGCAGGATGGGTCAGATGTTTGCATGGACTTCGGTCAGTAGGGTTACTGTCTCAAAGGCTTCTTTCTTTACTTTCAGCTCCTGGAACTTTTACTTTTCCTCACGACAGGAGTAAAAGAGGTCTGATGATGACAGCAATGTCCGTAACAGCTAGACCCCAGGTGAGCTGGGTTTTCTCTGCTCCTGCACATATTCCTATGTGAATATGCATAAATATTTATGAATAATACATAAAAGTATACATGCATATATGAAAATAGATTTATATAAATTACACATTCATTATAGAAGTATAAATATATATAGCATAATATTTTATATATGCATATATAAAACTATCTAAATTTCCTTTTTCATGAAGGTATAACATTTATAGCACAAATCTGAATTATAGTTCAGTGTAGTTCACTTTTCAGATCTATACACCTGTTTGAGCATCACTCCCATTAAGACAGAAAGTACTAGTATCTTAAAAGTCTCCTTCATGTGCCACCCAAGCAGTCCCCCCAAATTTGATCATTATAGATTAATTTGTTCTTGAACTTCATATTAATGGAATAATTCACATGTACTCTTTTGTATCTGCCTCCTTTTGCCCAACAATATGACTGTGAACTTCACCTGCATTGTTGCACATAGCAGTAGTTTGTTCTTTTTCACTACCGAATAGTTTTCCATTATATGATTACCATATTTTATTTAGTCATTCTACAGTGGATGGATACTTTGTATTCAGTTTTGCACTACTGTGAATAAGAATTCACTGAATATTCTTGATATGCCTTTTGGTGGATGGACACTTGTCCCCGTGTCTGTTGGGTATATCTTTAGGAGTCATTGCTAGATTGCAGGGTATTATGTTTGGTTAGTTTTAGAAGGTGCTGCTGCAATTTTATGAAATGATAGTTTGAATTTTTACTTTAACTAGTAGTATATGAAAATTCCACTTGCTCCACATCCTTGCCAACACTTGTTATTTATTCTCAGGGTTTTAAAATTTCTTTTTCCCCAGTAAATAGTGAAGCAGAGCACCACTTCATGTTAATAGCATACATAGGTATCTTCCTATGTGAAGTCTGTTGAGATATTTTTCCCATTTAAAAAAATTACATTGTGTGTTTTTCCCCTCCAAGTTGTAGTTATTTATTATGGATATGAGTCCTTTGTTAGATATATGTATTTTGAAATATCTTCTCCCAATTTCTTGCTTGATTTCTTGTTCTCTTAATGGTACCCTTTGAATAAACAGTTTTTCTCTAGAGTGTCCAAAGTGAGAGTATTTTCTTATACTTCTCTAACTTCTACTGCTGTGTGGGAGTGAGAAGTAACTGACAGTTCTGAGAGCTGTGTGTCTGTAGTAGTGGTCAAGGAGACAAGAAGGAGGAAAGAAGAATTGGGAAATAACAGTAATATGAAAGCTCAAATAATCACCCAAATGTTTTACAGTGTGGGAGGGGCTTAGAGCTAAGGTGACAACTATATCCAGGTGTATGTTAGTTCTCCTTTTATAGATGCACTTTTCATGTTTAGACCAGTTTCTATATATAGTAGTCTGTTTGGAAGTCACATATATTTGGAAGCTACTAGTGGAGATGTATTTGTTCTAACTGGGAAAATATGTTGGATTCTGGTGGTCTGCCTTTAATTGTATCTTCTTCCTCTACACTTTACAAATTTCACACATTAGACCGCTCAGGCGCACTAGGGACTCAGTACTAAAAGCCTATCATTGTAGGTGCCCTTTGAAGGCCTCTCATTGATAGTTTTGACTGCTACCAAGTCCCAAGACTGGGAGAACAGGAACTTGTTGTTTCAGGAATTGGTGACTTTTGAGGATGTGGCTGTGTACTTCACTGAGAAGGAGTGGGTCAGCCTGGAGCCTGCTCAGAAGGCCTTGTACAGGGATGTGATGCTGGAGAACTATGAGTCTGTGGTCTTTCTAGGTAAGTCCTTTCTGCTGCTGTTCTCTGCCTGGTTCCTTAGAGGTTAAAGTTCTTTCTTATAATTATTAGCTGACATCCCTCTCCCCCATAAATGGTAGTGTCAAGGGTTGCTATGTATGGAGAGCCCTGGAGTCTATTGACCTGCAGAAGGCCTTCCTTCTTTTCCGTCATAAAAGCCACTCTCCCCCCATACCTGCACTAGTGGTTCTCTGAGTCCAGTAGGGTTTGAGCTGTATCTGGGCATCCTCAGCCTATGCTGACCCTCCAGATTGTCTTGCGAGAACTGTCCCTTACTCTACCTGTGGAAGTTGCTCCTTGGAGCCAGGTGTCTAGTTTCTCACAGTGGGAACTTGCCATCCTCTGGCACAGAAGGTAGGAAATTTAGTTTCCTTTTAAATAGAAATTTGCCTCCTGAAATACTTCAGGCTTCCTTGTGAGCACCACTCCCTCTTTAGGAGGCTACCTCTTGCTCAGTCCCACCTGACTTTCTTGAAGCCTCAGGCTATGATTAACCCCTGTGACTCTTGTTTGCTACTTTATTGTAAGTCCTTCCCTTCAAGCAGCAGCATCCACTTCCCACAAGCCAGCTCTGATCTCTCAGCTGGAGCAAGGGAAAGAACCATGCTTCTCTCAGCCACAGGGAGCCTTAAGCAGGAGAAACAGGAGAGCAGGTGCTAAGGGTGAGTTAAGCAAAGGTGTCCTTTCTAGTTATGTCTGTTGCTTGACTTTTATTTTATCAAAATGAAAGATGGACGTTCTTTGCACCCAGTGCCATGGAGTACATTGGCATCTGTGGTCACGCTCTTTCTGAGTGGTCCGTTATTCCCATCCCTTTAAACTGTAGCACAGAGCCCCCTGCTTCAGTGTTTCCCACACTGGGATGCTTTCATTCCTGGGAAATTTTTAAAGCATTTTTCTAAATACTTTACTGGTTATATGTGATCACCTTTTTCTAGTTCTCCCAGTTTCACAAAATTGACAAGCTGCAGTATTGTCTATGAACCAGCGGAACAAACAGAAGAATTTACTTTTGCTTTTTATGTTTTTTTTTTTTAAAGATTTATTTATTTATGCATAGAAAAACTGGGATATAGGCCAGAGGTGAGGGGTGAGAGGATTCACCAGAGACAGAGTAGTAAGGGGAGCACCAGGCAAGACAGGGGTAGCTCCCTGGCTGGGGATCAAACTCAGGCCATAGCAGTGACAGTGCTGAGACTTAACCCCTAGGCTACCAGAGAGGCTCTGCTTTTTATGTTAATATATTAAAATTTTAAATCATTTGTTTTATTGAAATATTTTAAGGTAGCTTATAGATGTGATTTTCTTCCTTTTAGGATACCTCCCAAAACTGAGAAGATTGGCCTATTTGACTAAAATAATAACACGTGCAATAAAGTTGAAAATTCCTCAGAATCGCCAGTTCTGGGAAGACAGAAGAAAGGGCTAAATCTTTACCATTAAATACCAGTTTTCAAAGAAATGAGTTGATTGAAAAACCATCTTAAATGTTGTCAAGTATGCATTGTCTCTTTCTGTAGACTCATGGATTTCAGTTCATTAAAATGCTCATTTTGATGTACCAAGCAGACTCTCATGTCCTTTTAAAAAATAGCTCTATTGAGATATAATTCACACACTATATAGTTCACCCATTTAAAAAGTATACAGTTCAGTGGTGTTTAGTATATTCACACAGTTGTACAAGAATTACTGCAGTCTGCATTTAAAACGTTCTTGTCACCCTATAAGAAACTCTGTTTCCATTAACAGAACTGTTTAGTTGTAAAAATGCCAAGAAGCAGAATCAACATACCAAGGCCACTCCTCCTCTTGACATGGTGGTGGTTGCTAGGGGAAGGAAGCAGAGATAAGCTGCACAGCCTGGCCTTACATCTGCGAAAGCACACTCTAGGCCAGAAAGAAATCTTTACAAGTCACAGTTCTTGTGCTGTTCCCACAAACATAGGAAGTCCCGACTGCAGAATAAGAGATCACTTTTGGTATGCATGTACTGTTCCTCCTTTTCCCTTAGCCAGAATGTAACCAGATGTCTCCTTTGTCTCTGCCACAGGAGAATCAGTATCTCTTCCTGTGCACAGCCCATCTGCACAGACTGTGGCACAGACCAGAACATCTGAAGGGCAGGACCAGCACTCAGAAATCTGATGCTGTCCCCTGGGTTTGAGTCCTCAGTTTGCTTTTATTAATCTCCTTAATAAAATTTTCAGTTGACATATATGATAAATTATGTCAGTTGACATATATGATCTAACAATTCAACTTCTGGATATTTACCGAAAGAAAATGGAAACACTAATTTGAAAAGATAAATACACACTCATGCTCATCACAGCATTATTCCCAATCGCCAAATATGGAAATAAGCTTGATGTCCATCAGTAGAGGAATAAAGATGTGATACATCCACATATATGTGCAATATTGTTCAGTCATTAAAAGATAAAAAGAATCCTGCCATTTGTGACATGGATGAACCTGAAGGGCATCATGCTGAATGAAGTAAGTCAGGGGGAGATAAGTGCTGCATGATCTCACTTCTATGTGGAATGAAAAAGCAAGATAAAATGAAAAAAGTATATAGACATAGAGAACAAATAGTTACTGGAGAGGACAGGTGGAGGGTGAGCAAAATGGATGAAGGTGGTCAAAAAGTAAAAACTAAGAGTCACAAAATAGGTACAGTATGGTCAGGATTACTATTCATACTGTAATGCATAACTGAAAGTTGCTAAGACACTATCTTAAAGGTTTTTTTTTTTTTAAATATTTATTTATTTATACAAGCCCTGGGTACAGTCAGAAACACGGGAGGGTGAGAGAATTCACCAAAGCCAGAGCAGGGTGCAGAACAGGCAGAAGGATCGAGGTACACTGCTGAGGGGAGCAGCGGGATCAGCAGGAGAGGTCTGCGCGCCATGTGGGACCTCCTCCGGTTGCCGGGGAACAGCCAGGGATTGAACCGGCACTGCAGAGGCTGCGGGCAGCTTCACAACCCAGCGCTCAACCGCTGCGCCACCGGGGAGGCCCCTTAAAGGTTTTTATCACAAGAAAAATTGTAACTGTGGTGATGGATGTTAACTAAACTTATGTGGGGATCATTTCACAATATATGCAATCATGCTGTACAAGACTAATACAATGTTGTATGCCAATTATATTTAAAAAAGTGAATGTGTGAAATGGTTTTTGTAACTTGATAATAGAAATAGTACATACTGGGTAGATTACTCTAAAATTAGTTCTCACAACTAATTTTATTTTTTTTAATTTAAATAAATAAATAAATAAATAAATAAATAAATAAATGTTTGTTTCTCCCCATCCCCCCAGGTGTAGTCCCCATGGAATTTCCTTCCCCAGTGCACCCCTGTACCATCACCTTAGTCCCTCCCTCCCTCCCTCTGACCCCTCTCCTGCCTCCTCCCTGGCAGGATGCCTCTGATTTATAATTGTCCATTTTTGCTTTGTTGTGTTTTGTACTGTTATTATTTTTTTACACTGATGTCTTATTTTGTTTCCCTAAATTCCTGCTATAAGTGAAACCATCCAACATTTTTCTTTTTCTTTCTGACTAATTTCACTGAGCATAATTCCTTCTAGTTCCATCCACATTGCTACGAATGGCATGAGTTTATCTTTTTTGATTGCTGAATAATATTCCAGTGTGTGTATGTGTGTGTGTGTATCACATCTTCTTGATCCAGTCATCTATTTTTGGGCATTTGGGTTCGCAACAAACACTTATTAAGCTCATTCTCTAGGTCAGGCATTGTTGCAGGAGGCCTTGATGCCCCAGCCAGATAAGACACTGGCAAGCAGCAAAGGTAAAGGGCCTCACACCGTGGGGCCGAAGGTAAAGGGCCTCACACCGTGGGGCCAAAGGTAAAGGGCCTCACACCGTGGGGCTGAAGATTCCTTGTGCCTCACACTGTGGGGCTGAAGATCTAACATTCCTTCATTTTTTGTTCTTGGTCATAAAGAGAGACAAAATTTCCCAAAAAGTACATTAGGCTATAAATTATATGTATCAGCAGACTGCAAGCAATTGGCACGAAAAATTACCTGTTTAGAAATTAGTTACTACACAATTCGGCCCAATTAACAAAGGGAGACAATTTATTGTATATATCTGACAAGCAATCCAGCATAACAATTATAGTAAATCCTTCTTTTGTTTTTTCAGAAGTTTCCTTTTTATTTAGAAGTTTCTTAGGAAAGTTTTTAAATAAAGTTAACTGTGTTAAGAAGTTTGTAGGTAAAAAAAATTCTGATAGCTGAGTAGCAGCTGGTCTCTGACTGAAGGCCATGTGAATAAAATAGTCTTTTGATGCTGAGGCTTTAGCTGATATGGATGCACTGGCGGCTATCCACTGTCTTAGATAATTGTCTAGCTGAAAAAATTAAGTTTTAGTGTTAGGTCTGGTTTTTTATCTATTAACCTTGAAGGCTACCGTCTAGCTGGGACCCGTAGGAGCCAGTAGTCCATGGGAATAAAATACACTAATTGTTTCTGCTTTACACATGACAATGTATTTTTTTTTTTCTGCTTACTAAAAATAAATAAATAAAGACCTGCTGAGTCTCTCGGCAAAAGATACTTGCATCTCATCCAAGAGTTAGTGTCTCCTCACTACCTCATCCCCTTCCCTTCAGCCCTTAAGTTTCAGCCCCTTACAGGTCCCCGAGGCCGTCTCATCCTTTCAGGAACCCCTGACACGACATTTTGCCGGAGGCTGGTCCCCGGCAAGGCATTGTGATAGATGCCAAGATTACACCTGTGGGGCCTCCCCGGTGGCACAGCGGTTGAGCGCTGGGTTGGGAAGCTGCCGGTGGCCTCTGCGGCGCCGGTTCGATCCCCGGCTGCTCCCCGGCCACCGGAGGAGGGTCCCACATGGCGCGCAGACCTCTCCTGCCGCCTGCTGCTCCCCTCAGCAGTGTACTTCGGTCCTTCTGCCTGCTCTGCTCCCCGCTCTGGCTCTGGTGAATTCTCTCACCCTCCCGCGCTTCTGACTGTACCCAGTGCATGTATAAACAAAACAAAAAAATAAATAACCATGCCTCTATTAAAAAAAAAAAAAACTTGTCAGGATTTCTTTGGGGAAAAAAAAAAAAAAGATTACACCTGTGAACAAATTAGCCTTGGCATCCATATTCATCTTGCTGAGGAAGACCACAAGAAGATAGGCAGTAGTATGGGGTGGAAGGCCAGGAGTCTGGCCAGAAATAAAAGTCAATGAGTCCTACGTGAATAGATCCGCCGCAGTGAATAGCAGTGGGGTGGGGCTTGCTGAGGTTCAAGTCGGTGAAATGCTGACGGCAAGAGCTGGCTCTATTAGAGTCCGCTATGAATTAGGAAGCCAGGTAGGCTTGGTGGGAACCTAGCCACAGATCTTCTTGGTGAGGAAGACATTGTGTGATCGACTGTACTCATTGCCCTGAATTTGTCTCAGTTTTGTCTCCACCCTTGCGGAGCCAGGACACTGCAGCAGCTGGAAAACTCCAGGCTGAATCAAGTAGAACGGCGCCCACAGGGATCGTTGGCCACACGGTGGCGCTATGTGCTTCTTCAAAACCTCATTGTTTAAACCCTGTCTCTTACCCCTGATTCCGGGGCCAGCCTGAATGTGTCAAATCTTGCCCTCCATCCTTCAAGCTCAGTGCATTTCTTCCTTTTTATTACTTTGGAGGGAATTTCTGCCCATCACTGATGACATGAAATTCAGGATACCCATTACTGGGTTCTCAGAATTCTTCAGATCTGAAATAATGTATTTCGAGAACTTGAGGAGTGATGGGCATTAGGAAGCACGTTGGGCTGATGCTGCCGGTCACTTTATTGAGTGCTCTGTGAGAAAGGCCTTGGTGAGGGTGAAAGACAAGCTCATTCAATGAGCACTTATAAGGTATTTGACTCCTGACAATCACCATCTCTTTAAAACTTTCCTTTAAACTTTCTAATGAACTTCACGAGGTAGGCATTACCCCCACTTTGTAGATGATGAAGCAGAGTGGATAGATATAGCATTTGTTCAAAGTTGTGCAGCCCAAAGTGGTGAAATTCAGTTTCCAGACAGCACTTATGGTTTCCTCGTGATGCCTCCTAGTCAGCCTCCTCCCAGCGTTAAGCATTTTCATGATTTCTGTTGCTCTAGGCTAGTGTCATCTGTTTTGCATACAAACAAAATCAATTAGTATATATTCTTTATGTTTAGATGTTTTTGCCACATTTTGTCTCCGTTATTTATCCATGTTGAGTGTGGCAAAGTTTTTCTTTTTTAAAGATTTATTTATGCATACAAGAGCTGTGGTGCAGACCGGAGGTGTGGGGGGCTGGGGTGAGAGGATTCACCAGAGACAGAGCAGGGAACAGAACAGGCAGACTGACTGAAATACACTGCTGAGGGGAGCAGCGGGCGAGACAGGAAAGGTCTGCTTCGCCATGTGGGTTGCTCCCTGGCGGCCCGGGGATCGAACTCGTGCTGCAGAGGCTGCGGATTCCTTCATAGTGCGGTACATAACCCCTTGCACCAACAGGGAGGCCCCAAAAGTTTCTTTTAGATGACAGAGCTACTCTAGTGACTGAACATGTTACTGGTTGATAGGCATTTGGGTGATTTCAGATTTGGGGCTTTAACGATTAAAGCTGCTATGAACATTCTTTTATATATCTTTTGATTGATCTGTCTGTTTCTCTCTCTGCATAGTAACAACTAATGGATTATTGCATTATAGGAGGGGCATGTCTTACTTTAGTAGATTCCGCCAAAAGTTAAAAAAAATCCTTGTAATGATTAACACTGCTTCCAGCAGTATCTGAAAATCTCAGTCGCTCCTGTTCCTCCTCAGTCTTTTTAATTTTGGCTATTTTGGTGGCAGTATGGAGGTAACCTATTGTGGTTTCAATTTATAGTTCCCTAGAGTCTAATGCTGTTGAGTACCATTTTCATACGCTCATTGACCATCTGTCTACTCTCTGTGCAGGGAGTAAGGCTTGCCTGTGTCTGCAGGGCTGGCATTGTTGTCACTACCCACTGGCACCAAGACAGGGAGCCTGCAGGGTCTCTTACAGGTTTGTCCAGATGGGGAGAAGAGGGAGGAGGGGGACTTTAAAGCTGCCAGCAATCAAACATCAATAAAGAAATTGTATTCTTATCACACATCTCTAAGCTCCATGGTGGTGAGGAGATAATAGCTCTTAATATTAACCAAAACCATCAATACCTTGTTGCCTATGCTTGGAACACAAACGCAGGTATTTCTGTAATGTAGTTGTTATCATGTTCGCCTCACACATGGGACAGATAAGCAAGTACGAGAAGATGATCTGAACTCTCCAGGTTAGGCCAGAAATTAGTCTTTACATTTTATATATCCTGCTTGGCTGTGCTGTGACTGTTTTATAAGTGAGGACCAGTGTTAGAATCCCAGGGGGAAATACAGTTATTGACACTGTTCAGTTATTGATTACCGTTCATGGCAGTAAACTATGCATGGATGCTTGACTACCCAAATCATAAGTTTATAAAATATGTAAATTATTTCCTTTCTATTCTCACAAAGAATCTGGAATGGAAAGGGAAGGCATCATTTTATATCTGCTTTAATGAGAAACGGAGACTTCTAAGTGTCAAATTGTTAGTAAGGTAATACACTTAAACACCTGCAGGTACAGATGGTGAGTCCTTTGAGGTTAGTGAAAGAATGTGTTAACTTTTGTTTCATGTAGCTTTTTATTGAAGCTAACATACATGTGGAAATGTGCACACCTGCCAAGTATTACCAATGAATTCTCATCTATTAGTTGGTACTGACATCAGTAGTCAGATGGAGAAAGCAAACACTGGCAGCATCACAAAAGCCTCCCCTCCCCCCCCATATTTACCTTCCCAGTCATGGCTTTCTCGGGGGTAACCACTCACCTGACTTCTGATGGCAGAAATTACCACTGCTGTGTGTGTATTTCATATAAATGGAATCATATGTTAGCCTATTTTTATGGCTGGCTTCTCTCTCTCCACAGAATGTTTGAGGGTGGTTGTAGTTCCTTAATTTTCCATTGCTGTAAAACACTCCATTGTGTGAATAGACTACAATTTACTGTGGAGGTTGGGAGTGGTTTCTAGCTGGGACCATGTGAGAATGCGGCTGGGAACACTCTTGCATGTGGCTTCTGGTGCACAGGCATAAGCTTTGAGGCAGGCATAGGTCTAGGGGTGCATTTGCTGGGTACGTGTATCTTTAGTGTTCATATATAGCCAGATAATTTTCTAACATCATGGTAATTCTTACTAATTTTTAACATTCACACCAACACAGGTGCGTAGAAAAGGTTCCCTGAATGAATGCATGGAGGCAAGGATGCGGGGGTGCCGGAAATGATAAGGTTGTCAGCACTGTAGACATGTTGCGTCACAGGCATGGCTTTATGGAGGACTGTGTCCTCAGGGAGGTAAATTGTCACGTATGCACCAGAGGTCTGAATTACAGGGCCGGGGTGTCACTGCAGATCCTGATGGTCCTCAGTGCGGAGGGTCCAGAGCTCAAGTTTATCTGCTTCTTAGCCAACTGTGATCACTCCAGAGAGAATCATTCCCCTTCAGTCTGGGTTATCAAAGTGGCAGTTATTCCGGGAGCAGCGGAGAGCCTACACTTGCCCTGTGGGCACCTCCTTAGCTGAGCAGGGTACTGGGTGAACAGAATGGCACTGAATTTGGGAGTCTGTCTTCAGGACGTAGGGGCTTGAGACTCTGCTGGGCGGAGCCAACTTCTAGAGCAAATTTTCCCAAGTGCCTCGGGAGTCTCTGAAAAGAGTTCTGTATCCAGTAAACTTGGGAAAACTAAGCATTCCCCAGGGGTCTTGGAGAACCTCAGTACATATATCAAAAGCTCTCACCAGTCCTACTGCCAAGAAGAAAAAATCTGTTTAACTCTGCTTAATGTTCTCAAACTTGACCAACAGAATCCCTGCCTTTGAAATTTTTTTTTACAGAACATATATTCTGCAAAGCACCACAAATCCCTTTCTAAAAGATAGCTCTGTTCCACACCAGTACCGTGTTTCTCAGACTGCACTTATGAGTGGATATTAGTGAAATACGTTTAGTGACTTGAGACCACCATTAAAAATGATGAAAATGGAACAGGAAATCCATCACAGTAATAAAGTTTCCTATACCTTTGTTTTAGTTACATTTATACTTAGAGGTTTGTGTAAAGTTCTGGGCACAGAATGTAATCTTAAGCCGGCTGCAGTCAGGAAAGGAGACTCAAAAGATCACATTGCCCTCTCAAATGTCTGGAGGAAACACTGAGAAGTTTGTCCTGTTCCCACCCCTTCCCTCACATTCCTCACCCAGGGGCCCAGACTCAGCTCTCTCAGCTCTGTTCTGAGTCCCAGGCTCTGACTGAGCCTGCAGTTCTCAGCAATGCGTCCTGCCTCCCCCTCCTGGTTAGCAATGTCTTCCTCTTACTCTCACGAATAGACTTCGGTTTGCTAAACTATTTGTTATCTGGTCTCTAAAAAGTTACTTTAACTCCCTATTCCACAGTTTCCTCACTTTTAAAATGGTGATAATACATTTTTGTGTGTGTGGTGATGAAACACAATAACCCATGGAAAGCATCTGGACCCTAAAAAGGATTGAAAAGCTACATTTCCTTCTATCACCCCCCCCCAAATACACACACACAATTGAAGGAGAGTCTGTGGATCTTTGTCCCCCTGAAGCTGTCATCAGGAACCACCTTGAAACGTCCTGCAGCAGGTGACCCCAGAAAATGGTACTTCCAGTCCATCTCATAAGATTGTCATTAGTTTCAGTTTTGGAGAGACTTTTCAGCCAGTTCCCAGATTCTCTCAGGGACCCCACCTCTACCTCCTATAGGCTCTTAAGAATCCTGAGATCCAAGTGGCAACTCAGGGACTCAGGCCTCAAAGTGGTTCAGGTACTGGTTGATCACCGGTCTGTTAAGGGGGGGGGGGGCAGCCCCCATTCAAGCACTGTGGATACCACAGAGCCCTGTCCTCTCCCGACAAGGGACATTCAGACCCATAGTTCCTGTCCTCACTGTGCCACAGCCCACTCTAGGTGGCCCAGGGGACACAAGGTACTGCCTAGGTATTCTAGAGAAGGGGGTCAGTATATGTCACTTCAGTGTCTTAAACACTGATTAGTTCTCAAGGAGAAAAGTTGGTTAACGACCCTAAGTGGTCAACAGATTTTTCTTCCCTTACATCCTTCCAAATCGCCACTGGGGATTGAGCTCAAGCAAGGCTTTTTGCCAGTAAAAAAGACTTGTCTTTCTGAGGCTTTCCAAGGAAGAGGGATATTCCTGGCGACCCCCAGCTGGCCTATGTCCCCCCAGCCCCAGACCCGATGGCTGCGGGCGCACAGAGCACCGCACCCCTTGGAGGCGAGATCCTGGCGGTGCGCCCAGGTCCTGAGTGCAGTCCCTGGTGCCCAGCCTCGGCTCCTCACCCTGCGCGCTGGAGGGCCTGGTGCTTTCCAACACCTGGACCCCCCCACTCCAGGCTGCGGCTGCCCGAGCCCCGGGCAGGGCTTTTATTGTGAAAGGCAGCCCCCCCTCCCGCGCTTTCGGGGAAGTGGGGAGGCTGGGTCGTCCAGCGCTGCAAGGACTTTGCAAACTCGGCAAACTCCTCTAGCCGATCCCGCGGCTGCAGGGGGTTCTGCAGACCCGCAGATCCTCGCCGACCCCCCGCCCGGGGCGCGCTCGCCCAGACCCCTCGCCACTCCACCAGCAGAGCGCCCCGGCGCGCCCCGCGCACGCCCAAGACTTTCGTGGCGCCACTTGGCCCCTGGGCAGCTGTGGACCCTCTCTCTGTCCGGGAAACTGGAATCTGAGGAAGCCACGGCGCCAGAGGCGGCCCCGGGCAGTGGGATGCGCAGGCGGCCCGGCCGAGCGCCCAGGAACCGCTGCAGGCCCCTCCGGGGACATGGTAGGCATCGCGGGTCGGGATGTTGGGGGGTGGGGGGGGCGCAGGTGTGTGTGTGTGTGGGGGTCCCTTTCCCCTTCATTACTCCCGCTCCCCAATCCTTATCGATTCCCCCCTTAGGAGAGGGGAGTGATTGGATGTACAAGTTGCGAAATTCTATAAATGTGGCAAATTTTTACTACTCAATTCCCTGTTCAGGGGCAAGTGGTGGACCAAGGCCATCCACTCAGAAGACCATTGTTCGTGTGCAGGAGTCTCCTGGCTTTAAAGTGGGGGTGGGGGGGTGGGGGGGAGGGGGGAAGTAGGGGCAGAACCTCTCAGGCCTCTGCAAGGAGGTGGCATGAGGGACGGAGAAGGAACCACCCTCTGCTCTGGAAGCCTGAGGGCACTGGATGTGTTTGCCCCACGGCCCGCGTGGACCTCCCGTTCCCAGTGAGCCAGCAGCAAGCAGGCGCCTGGCCTCTCATCGGGGTTCAGGGATAGTGTTAGGAAGAGGACTGGAGTCAGGATTTCACTGTGTGAGGATGCAGTTGCCAGTGTGAGGGGCCCCAGTGGCCGCAGATAACCGAAGATTTCCTTCGCTTCTCTCCCTGAATGAAGGGACCTGTGTTCCAGAGAAGCGAGGGACCAAGGGACAGCAGGGCACTGGCTAGAGCCAGCCTAGGAGGAGGAAGGGGGCCAAGAATCCTTTGTGGGTGGGGAGCTCAGTTTCCTCCTCCGTAAAATGAGAGGCTGAACTAGATGTCCCTCAAGATGCCATTTGACTCCAAAAATGGATGTTGCATGAATAATTCTGAGGTCGGACCTCTGCCCTGGTGTTGCCCTTTTCCTAGTATGGACAACCACGCAGTGTGAGGAGGTGATTCTCAGCCGCAGCTCTGACTGCTCCCTGGGCCAAATCCAGGTGGGACCCACATGGGATTTTTTTTTAAAATATCCTGCATGTCACAGAACTACCACTCCTTGAGATAGTCCTAAAATAGAAAGGGTTGGTGAGCTTCATCTGGGAAATGATACTTGCTAAAGACCCTTTTGGAGCTTCCTTCCATAGAGAAACTCTTTGACATTCATTAAAACTGAATTCATTGAAATTTGTTTGAATAGGGTGTCCTTTATCCAGTAATCCTGTGACACCATCGTATTACTGATCCAAAGTACACATGATGGGGGCCCTGGATGAAAAATACTAAGCTAGAAGTCCAGAATCCCTAAAGGTCTTTCTGCACAAGTGAACACTGGGCTGCAGGGTCTGTGAGGGTATTTATGGTCATTTCACAGGGGGCCTTGGTGTGTCTGTTTCCAAAGCTGAGACACCGCCTTTCCCTACAATAGCAGTGGGCAGCCTGTAGAGGTGGATGATAAAAATGTTTTCTCAATAAGAAATCTTTATTTCAGACAAAATTTAGTATTTCCATAATTTAGGATAAAGCCATCACCTTTTCATGAGTCCGTGTTTCAGGTGATTGTGGTTTCCATGAGGATCCTTTGAACATTTACCTTCATGCCTTGGGAAGCTGCATAGTCTTTTCTTTGCAGGAATTCCAGGCTTTCGGGGTGCTCCCCTCCCCTCCAGGTGCTCCAGTTGGCATGTTCAGGAAAGACTGAATACTTAACAGTAAGCAGTTAGACATTCTTTTAGTGCAGAACTTTCTTGCCAGAAATTTCTTGCATTTTACTACCATAAGTATTCCAGAGTCCTTGCAACACTGGGCAAATTCTTGAACTTGCTCAGAAATCTCTTGCAGCCTTTTCTCTCATTATTTTAGGGATCAAAACATCTTTCAACATGGCTGAGATACTGTGGGGTCGAGAGCCACCTCAGGGTGGACAGATGAGAGCATCTTGGCCATTGTTGGGTAGGGGGTGGGGAGGGGTGGGTGAAAAATATTGACAGACTTGGAAATAAGTTTTTGTCCTGGTTCTTAATAAAATCTTTCTTCCTGATATTACACACACACACACACACACACACACACACACACAGAAGCATATTTCCTACTGTCTTTCAGTATTATTTAAAATAACTAAGACGATACCAAACATACAGGTTTAGTCTGATTTATTTTGCTTCACTTTCTATCAAAGCATGTTTCTGTGTTGTCATCTCTAAAAAATTCTTCATAACCGGGCCTCCCTGGTGGCGCAGCAGTTGAACGCTGGGTTGCAAAGCTGCCCGCAGACTCTGCAGTGTCGGTTCGATCCCCAGCTGCTCCCTGGCCACCAGAGGAGGGTCCCACATGGCGCACAGACCTCTCCTGCCGCCCGCTGCTCCCCTCAGCAGTGTACTTCATGGGTCTACCTGTTCTGTTCCCCGCTCTGGCTCTGGTGAATTCTCTCACCCTCCCGCGCTTCTGACTGTACCCAGTGCTTGTATAAATGAATAAATAAATAAATAAATCTTAACCATAAAAAAAAAATGCTCTTTAAAAAAAAAATTCTTCATAACCATATTTTTAATGCCTATTATTGTGATTTTGATAACCACTTCCATGCATGTAGACTTCAGGTTGATTCCAGTTTGGGGCTGTTTTCAATGGCAGGCAACCAGCTTCTGATTAGCCATGGAAAGAGCGATCTGAGAGCCTGGCTAAGTGGAAATCAGACAAGCTCACAAGAGCAAATTGCTTCAGCCTCTTTATCAAAGATCTTACTGCACCCACCCTCGAGGGGCCAGGGTGTGGGCACGAGGCATTTCCTCCTGTCTGTCTTTAATCTGTGCTGTGGGCATGTCTTCAGGCAGGCAGCCCTGCGGCCAAGGGTCCATGGAAGCCCACACATGGGCCTGTTCTCCTAGGAAGAACCAAGAGCTAAGGTCCCTGGAGGCTAAGACTCAGAAGGGACCTTCAGGTGAAGGAGCTGAGGCTGGAGAAGGGGTGTGACCTACCTTAGATTGTTCAGAGCTGGGCCAGTGCCCAGACCTCCTGGTTCTCCACTCCCACCCTCACCCCTCTGCAGGTGCCTTCACAGGCACAGTCGCCTCTTATACTTGAGGATGCTGCTCAGAGCAATGGAGGAAAGGAATGTGGTTTGAAATCAGAATGAGCTTCGTGCCAGGTTAAACCCTAGCCCCTCATCTGTAAAATGGTGATATACTGTTGGGTTCTGATGAAAAGCAGTAAAGCAAAAAAACCAAAACCAAAACCCATAGGTTGGGGGTCCTTAGGCCTCACAAAGGAGTTATTTCCTTAGTTGTTTCAGAGGCCAGTGAGAGGAACATGACTCGGAGATGCAGGGGGAGGCCCAGCCCTCCCCCTGAGCCCACAGAACCAATGTAGAAACAGAACGGCTCTTGAGGCACCGCCCTGGAGTGACCTGGCCTGTCTTTGCTTGGATCCTTTTTTTAAAAAAAATGTGATTGCCAAAGTACTTCCATCTGTGGTGTCTGGAGGTCTCCACACAGGTCTGCATCTGAAGGGCCACCTGACCTGAAAGTGACTATGGAGCAATAGATTGTGGGTGACCGGCAGGCTGCCTTCTCTGTATGGCCCTCCCACCCCACACTCCCCAATACGCATGAACTCATAGTCTTGGCCAGACTGGAGTCTGGCCAAATTCCCTACAGCCTGGCCTGGCAGCTGCAGAACTCAGTGGAAGCCATAAGGGACTGGCGGGTATAAAGACCTCTGTGGTGGATTTAGGGATGAGGGGTGTTTAGGGTGGAAGGGGAGAAGAGGTGTGGAGGATGAAAACACAGTAGGGGCCGCATGCTGGTCTTGGGGATCTTGACAGGCTCAGAAGGAACACCCCGTGTCTCCTTGGGCACCACCTACACCTGACTCCCAGGTGGCTTATGGGGCCTCCCTGGTGGCACAGGGGTTAAAGTCTCAGCGCTATCAATCTATCAGTGGCCACTGTGGCCTGAATTCGATCCCCAGCCAGGGAGCTAACCCACATGGCACAGCAGACCTCTCCCGCTGCTCCCCTCAGCAGTATATTTCAGTGGATCCGCATGTACTGCTCTCCACTCTGTCTCTGGTGAATCCTCTCACCCCCATACCTTTGGCATACACCCCAGTTCTTATATGCATAAATAAATAAAAATAAATCTTAAAAAAAAAGCTTAAATTATTCTTGGCTATATAGAATTGGTTACTGATTTGAGCCTCTGTGAAGAAGCCCAGGATCATCAATCCTTATGATCAGGATGTTGTTCTGATGATTTTTCAGTTGGTGAGATAGTCGCTGTTGGGTCCAGTATAGTGGTGTTTGGCTCTGCACACGCAAGACAATAAAGCAATAGCTTTATTCTGAACTCTGGCATCTTCGGCCCCATCCACAACGTGGGTGGAGCTAGAAGGAATTATGCTCAGTGAAACAGCCAGAAGGAAAAAGAAAAATATCAGATGGTTTCACTTATAGCAGGAATATAGGGGAAACAAATAAGACATCAGTGTAAAAAAATAATAACAGTACAAAACACAACAAATCAAAAATGGACAAGTATAAATCAGAGACATCCTGCAGGGGAGGAGGAGGGAGAGGCATCAGAGGGAGGGAGGGAGGCGCACAGGTGCCTTGGGGAAGGAAACTCTATGTGGGCTACACCTGAGGGGGTGGGGGGAAGCAAATATTGTTTAAAAATGAACAATGATGTAAAAAATAAAAAAAAAATAGTCATTTATATTCTCCCCCCCAAAAAATAAAAATGTTTCTACATTATTAGCTTTTCAGAAATCACAGGACTAGGACAGGGGTAATTGCTCCCTAGGTGAGCACGGTCATTCACATCACCCTGGCCACCGGGCCTGCTGTCAGTGTTGCCCTCTGCCAGCCTCCCAGACACAGGCTCCCTCCTGGGCCCCCAGCCTGCTGAGGCCCCTGCTGGAGGGTGGGCAGGGCGCAGCCCTCTAGCTCTCCTCCCCCAGCTTCCCCTCCTGCCTTGGGCTTGGGTTTCTGCTAAGTGGCCTCGGGAAGGGGCAGTGTCACACGCTGTTTATTTGTGGGCAGTTTTTGTTTGGCTTGTTAGGGTGTTTGCTTGCAATGAGCAAACAGTCTCTTCCAGA